GTGTCTGAGGTGTTCCATAAAACCCACGACCTCAATGCCAACCTGCCGCCAAGGTCAGGGAAACAATGGCACTTCAAGGTGTTTGCTACAGAAATGCAAGTTGAGTACAAGAGAAGAGAAATGCCACGGAGATGAGCGCAGGTCGATGAGGTTGTTTGTGCCAGACAAGCTTATTTTGTTGCTGGTGATGGCACACCTGAATAGGAAACTACATTCCCCGTGTAAATAAAAGAATGAACAATACAGGAGAGGGCAGTCAATGGAGGGAGCGTCCAGCCAGCCTGGGTCTGCAGACAGGAGGTTAGTATGACTCATGCAGGAGATTTGGGGACAGAAAAAAAGACTTGCCACACGGTCCTTAGAGGTTTCTCTCTGGGCTACAGTCTGTCAAGTGTTAGTATTGAGTGTTGGATTAAAGTGATTGTGTCAACCAGAAGAACAATGGAGCAAAAATTAAGACCGAAACAAGTGGGGGAGATGAAAATGAGGCTGATGAGAAGCAGGAGAAGTGAGATGAAGATCAGAATAACGAGAGTAAGCGAGAATTCAGAACAAAAAGGGGCCTGTGTTGTTTTAATGCAGGTGCTGCATTAGTGGGAGCGTTTATTTAAGGTACTGCTTAGACGATGAAATATGACCCAGGAAGTCCAGTTGAAGTAAGAGATTAATGCAATCAAAGGCTTTTCACTGCATTAAAACACTCAACAATGGTTTCTGATACTCACGGACAGGATTTGACAACTCTGGAAAGTTGTCATGGCAGCAACTATTTCATATTTTATCTCAATGATCGCAAGGTAAACAGCAGAAATATGCTGTTCATGGTAAAAAATAAATAAATTAAAAAAAAATCCACCAGGAAGGTGCAGTTGCCTGTATGTGATTGGCCAACATAGCACCCTGCTGGATAATGTCATGTTGAGCCAGGTTTTGCTGGACGACTAACCCGCCTGGGGCTGTACAGTGCTTTTAGCTAAATGCTGACATCAGCATGCTAACAAGCTCAAATGCTAATGCTAATATGCCGGAGTTCAGCGGGTAATGTTCACCATCGTCACTATCTTAGTTTTGCCTGACAGCATGCTGACAATGGCTAATGAGCATTAAAGAAGTGGCATTAGTTTTGCAGACATAAACCAAACTAATTAAATTTGATCTGTAGTCACTGGATGAAAAGTTATAATAGGTTTTTTTTTCTGAGATACCAAATGATACCAAATTTCATTGGAGTCCATCCAACAGTTCTCATTTGACTCAGAACCGTGAATGTCAACCTCATGGTGGTGAGAAATAATCAGGGTATCACCAACTTCATTAACATTCATCATCTGGGAACCATGAACGTGGAGATGTTGAAAAGTTTCACATAGCTACTGGTGGCGCTCGAGGAAACGTCAGTGGATCACCAAAGTCATTAGCATTCATCCTCTGTATGCTAGTGTGGCTAACAGGCTCAGCAGCAATTAATTATTAGTACATGTGATGGAAACAGCAATAATCACGTCTCTGATAATAACAACAGCCACAGCAAAACCTACTTTTTTGATCTTGAATTTACACTTGAAGTTCAACTCCCTTCTCCTCACTTCTCATCATGATCAGGCGTTAGCTTTAGCTCCCTGTGAAAGTGTGAAAGCTGAACCTGTGTGAGGTCTGATAGTGATGGATGAATTGGGTACATAGACAGAGCCCTTGGTGCGGATGAGATAAGGAGCCCTGAAGAACAAGCAGCCATTGCGAGGCCTGTCTGTCATTGATACCACTGTTATCCACCGGCTGTCCAGTGTACATAAATGCTTCCTCCGCTGCCCAAGAGGCACTGATTACCTCGATGACAGAGGCGGCCACACTTAGCTCGGCACCGCATCACTTTAAAACCTTGTAAGTCCACTTTTGCTATTGATGTTTTGTTAATTTTCTTGTCCATAACATAAGCATGGAGCCATAAAATCCAGTGAAACCATATTTTATCAAAAATAATTTGGGCGGTCAATCTGAAAATCTGAAAAAAATATTTGGAGATGTGAGGATTTCATACGGTCGTGTTTTTGCTTTCTCACGTACACTCTGATGTTTTGTCGCAAGTTGCTGTTTTGTTCCTGTTGTTAAACACTTTGTATAATCTCTATAATGAACTCAAATATTGGTTTTCAGGGGGGGATACTATGATTTCCAAGAATAAACATCAAAAAATACAGTATTTCTGTGTTCAAGTAGAACCCCACCAGTTCCAGTTTTGACAAAAAATAAGTGTTCATGATTGAGGCTTTCATCATTCAGTAATTTTCCACATGGATTAGAAACACAAATAACCCACTATACAAATACGTAATTGGTTTCGAAACAGCCATATGACAACATTTAGGCTACACAGAATATCACAGCGATGGTTAATTCATTCTGATGTGATACAATGAAAATGTATTGATTTGTATCAATGGGAACACGGTAAATAATCATTCATATGAACACTTCAATCAACAATCTCTTCTAAGATAACGTTCTTTAGAAGGAAAGAAACATGTTTTAGTAGAAAGTACAAGATTTTTTATATGCGCCATTTGAGAATTGTGAGAGAATGATAGCTGACATAAAAGCAGGTCTTATTATCCAATTGGAATAAATGCATTATCTGTCCCAAGACAGTTTCCTATAATGAACTCAATTTTCCAGTAAAGAGACATAAGCAAATGCAATATGTCCCTAAATTTGCATATATTGTAGATTCTGCTTTTTGTGGTTTACCGTCTGTGACACCAAGTTATACTTTCATTTCCTGCACTAACAGCTAGATTTACATTTTTTCACAGCTCTAAGTGTTTTTAGTGAGGTGAAAGTGCTGACTGATGGCTCATGGGCCCCCTGCCAAAAGAATTCATACAACTCACAGACAGCTGCACCAAACCGGTGTTTGGCTCGTGTCCGCTGTTCATTTCAAGTCGAACTCCTTGTCTCCTCTCCATCTCATTCAGCTGATGTGTTTTACCGTCCTCCTCCACAATGAAACCCAATGATGTGAAACCAGGGAGGGCGGAGGTGGGTGGTTGGTGGTTGGGGTGGGGGGGGGGGGGTGGTTTATGGCGGCTCAGGACTTTCACCTGTCAAGACACAATTGATTGTTATTAACAGCAGGGCCGAGAATGAATTTTGTCAGAAAAAGAATTACATTTCCATTCCAAAAGCCGCCTTAATTTTGCATGAAAGAAGAATTACACCTCTGCTCGGAAAATCTGCAGCGTCAACTGCCGAAAAAGTTTTATTTCAGAGCGTAAGCATTTAGCTGGAAGTATTTCATATGTTTGTACATATCAATCTCATTGCGTAACCCCCTCAAGGTATTTTTAGTACCAGCTGCAGATACCAGAGGGGCATCTAAAACCAGATGCCCATTAAAAACTGTAGCGAATGGACAGCATGCAATCAGCCCAGTGTTTTAATCTAAAGACACTGGGTTTACATAGTTAAAACCTGAGAACTGGGGCAGACAATGTGGCAGACTTTCCAATGAAAAGCTGGCTTACTGAGGAGGAAAATTATCATTTGTAAAAGAGTGACTGCTGTGAAATTGACTGCGGGTTGCTGGGAAGATGTTTACTGATGTTTACTCTTTGTGTGTGGGGAGCGCAGGATTAAATGCAAGGGTTTTGAACTCAATCAAGGAAATAATTACTGTTGCCCCTCCTGTCGGTGGACTCCATAATTAGCAAGCAAAGACCCCACAGAAACACAATTAGTCTGAAAGAAGAGGTGATTAAAACTATAATTCATATTGCACTCATTAGGATCTTTTTGGGATGCCTGGGACATTTTACTCAATTTGTCGGGAAGTTCTTTGTGCGGTTCCCACCAAATATTTCCTAATAAATTCTCCAGCCAGAATATCTTCCTTATTATGCTGCGTCCAGACATCTGTCAAAGCAAGTGATTGGTGAGATAATAGAATAGAGGGCATTTGCTTCAAGATAAAAACAAGTCAAGTGTGACTGACTCCATCTTCCTCAAGTAATGAAGAGTAATGATTGGCATCACTGATAAAAGCAATGGATCACATAAGCGCGCACACATACATATCACACACACATACACTTCAAAGCTCTTTTTTCACAGTGTGCTTCAGTGCAATGAATCACCATGTTTCCTATTATATTCTCTCAGAAGAACAAACACACACGCACATATGCGCACACAAACACAAACACCCACACCCACACAAAGCTGTTATCTGTCATCACCACTGTTGCTGCTCCTCCACCAAAAAACAGTCGATACTGATGCAGCACCCACTCATTGTGTGTGCGTCTTGTTCAGGTCTTTTTTGATTAAATGGGACTGCAGCAATGAGGAAAGTTTAGTGCTTTGGCACTTTCTGAGCTTTTTTTGTCAAATTAAAAGGCTTGATTACAAAACTGTCCCATTTTATAATAGACCTGTGACTCAGATTCATTATTTCAGTAAGGCATTCTCAGCATCTCTATTATGTCTTTAAAAATATTTGTCAGTGTTGAAAACAGAAAAACCACGGAAGCATTTATTTTAGTCTAACGTGTCTTTCCAAAATAGACAAAGATACTTCTGACCAGGATCTACTTTAGCTAAATGTGTCTTCAAAATATGACCAATTTTAATGTTTGGTTTGGTTTTGTGGTATATTAAGAATTTGAATAATGAGAAACTTCATCAACTTTGCTAAAGACATTAGCAAACTTGCCAAAAAGGTTTTATCCCTTAAAATAAACGCTTCATTGATTATTTTCATTGCTTCTGAACTCAATAGTCAGTTTTCCTACCTTTACAATCATTCACCCAGGTGACAGAATGTGGCAATTTCCTCACGAACAGTTGCAACCGGAACTAGCTTTGACAATTCTACGTCTCTGCTACCAGCCAATCACAACACGCAACTTCATTCAACTTATAGCCAATCACAATGCACGTACACCCAGAGCGGGACGCTCCAAATTTAGACCCGGAAGTCTCTCAAGTTTTGTCGGTCTGTTCTGTTTCGTTTGTTTATCAACAATAAAAAAAAAGCCATATTTGTTGAATATGGTGCGAGGCGGCTTGTCAGTCGTGTAGATTGCAGATTGAAGTCGGTTCATCGTTAGAAATATCAGCTGCAGTTTTGTGGGTAAGTTAATCAAAATAACGGCAGCCCGTCTGTAGCTAGAGCTTTGTGTACGCTTCCCTTTTATAAAGTAGTGGCTTCTGACAGCGCGATGTTAAATTCATTCAGTTACTCTTATAGTGTCGAGGACACATTGAACATGTTTGTGATTGTTTGTATACAAAGCTTTTATCCATGTTAACTTCAACTTAAGAAGAATACGGGTAAAGATGAGTTATTTTGACACTAAATCGCCACTGACGTTAGCAACTTTAGCTCTAGCACATACAGTAGTTGTGAAGTGTACCGTTAGCGTTCATAATCCAAGACGTAAAAATCTGAGGGACAGTCTCGTTAAGTGTTGTAGGCTATTATAATTACAGTGTTGTTAATACTCGATGTCATTTTTATCGTGGTAATTAATATGAGTTCTTTTTTGTGTGTTTTGTATTAGAGCTCACATTAGGCCCTGCTCCTGCGAGCGATGGAGGAGCTCTACACTTTAGAGAAGGAGGTAGGACGAGGCAGCTATGGCGTGGTCTTTCAGGGCCATATGGCCAAAACAGGACAGAGGGTGGCTATCAAGCGGCTGCCCTGCAGCAATCCAGAATGCATTGAACTCTACCTGCAAGAGCTGTGGGCTATGAGAGCCACTGCCAAGAACCATGTCAATGTCATTGCACTTCACAGCTGCCTTGTGCAAACTGGGCCAAGAAGCCTGAAGCCCCTAAAACCAGGGAACCTGCCTGTACGTCTTGTTGAGAGCGTGCTGAAAGGCAGTGTAGTCAGAACACCAGAGAGTCAGGAAAGAAATGATGCCCAGTCCAACAGTCAGAGGAGGTCTAACTCTGTCTCTAGACTTCAGGACAGGACCAACACAGTCCAGGCCAGGGCAAAACCCCAGGACAAATCTAAATCAAATGCATCTGATTCTACAACCCCACAAAGACCTCAAAACAGAGTCAGAAAGAGACCAGCTGAGAGAGAGGAAGAGCAGCCAGGACCCCTGCGCTGCTTGGCCCTGTGGCTCGTGATGGAGTACTGTGATGGGGGTGACTTGAATCAGTACCTGCTCTCCCGGCCCCCGGAAGCCCAGCGTAACCACAGTGTGGTGCGACAGCTCTGCAGTGCTGTGGCTTTCCTGCATAGCCTCGGTATCACCCACCGAGACCTGAAGCCTGACAATGTGCTCGTCTGTGTCACACCAAAGGGCCCTGTCGTCAAGGTGGGTAGATTGTTTTGACGTGACAGGGTTTACGTCAGATTAAGTGCCATTATCCTTGAGTCAGTACACGATTTCTTAGAAAACTCACACTGTTAAAATTTGATGGCAGTGTAGACCATAATAGTTTGTTCTCTCAGGGGTTGTTTTGGTTTCACAGCAGCAATGAACTTGAGACACAATAAACAGAACAAAATGAAATATGAAAAAGTAACTGAAAACAAAAATATGAGTATCAGGTGTATATCAGGAGATATAAAACTTTACCACAGGTGCGCTGAAAAGAGGAGTGTGATTAGTCGAATTTGGGGAAAATTTCAATTCCAGGCACTTATGCAGACAGTCTATGGGGTAAATCCTTTATTTAAGACATCCTGATAACGGCTTGTGGAGGCACTGGAATAAGCATTTCTGTGATTTTCAATATGATTTAGCTCTTTCAATCATAATTGAGTTTTTACTGTGCAGTCCACAGATGACTGAACCTGGAATTTTAGATTGCAACCATAACATCAAACCCTTTCCTTTCCTTTTCCTATCCAAATCTAATTTTGGTAATGGTACACATTCTGATGCTCTCCTCTGGGTTCAATAAATACAAAGACCAACTATCCAAAACTGAAAGCTATACAGTTTACTGTCAGAAGACCAGCAACTAGTAAACATTCACATCTGAGGAGCTTAAATTTTTAGTTATGTATTTATATTAGTTTTTCCATTTCAGCTTCTCAGAAAAAATATAAACGTGATGATGACAATATATTAGTGATTTAAAAAAAAAAAAAAGAAAAAAAAAGATGACTCACTTATCAAATTGGCTGCTGGTTAATTTTCAGTCAACTGACTAAGCAACTAAATGACTCATTGGTTGAGCTGTACTGTATCAACATTTCCACATATTGACATGTGCTGAAAGTCCATATGTCAAGCGAAAAACAAAACAACAAATCAGATATCAGGGCCTTAACTTATTTACTGTATCCCTTCAACCTAAATATAGACATAAAACAAAAAAAACTTTCCTGAGCCGTATGTTTGTGAAAATTGTACTTGCACAAAGCGTACCGTATATCTTTTGTCATTTAATCTCTCTGTCCGACCTCTAGGTGGCAGACTTTGGTCTGAGCAAGATGAGTGAAGGTCTGGTGGACGGGGATCTGACCAGGCAGCACTTCTCGTCCACCTGTGGCTCTGACTTCTACATGGCTCCAGAGGTGTGGGGTGGACTGACCTACACAGCCCAGGCCGACATCTTCTCCCTTGGTGTGTTGTTCTGGGCGGTCCTGGAGAGAATCACCTTTCTGGAAGAAGGAACCACACAGGAACAACTGGGTAAGTGTGCAGTGACCAGTCAACAGAGATACCTGATGCTTCCTTTCTTCAAACAAAACAGAAAGATCACTCAAAGAAACACTCCAACTAGACCAGGGTAGTCCAGTCAGTGCCTTCATGTTAACATTTAGGGTAACATATCAGCATATGCACGTCATGTGACATCCTGCTCACCAGTCAGAGTGCTCTCAGAGAGGTTGGAAAGGTTGAGTGTGTGGTCAGGCAGGTGGATGACGCATCGCACTGAATCGAGTTTGACTTAATTAACTGGCACATATTAAAAATGTCACATGCTATACATCATACATTCATCAGCCATGGACAGAACAATCATGAATCTAAATGGCAAAGAGATGACGGATGATTAATGCAATGTACATTTTGATACGGATCGTAGTAGCTCTGTTTCTTGTAATAAAATGTGACAATATGTGATTAAGCATTCCCTTCGCCAAAAGTGCTGTTGTTGGCAGCATGTGAAATTTTGTTCAGAATAGTCTGCCAATTGAAGTATTTTTTATTTATTTATGTATTTTTATCATCTTCTTATGCGTCTTTGGGTCCAGACCTTAACAAAGATCAATTACATTTTGATGGTAATTCAAAGATGCAGGTGAGTTGTAATTGTGTAATTGCATTTCGTTATTTGTCTTTGTTGTAAATTAAGTTTGTCATCGCATAGGACTTTGACGTAGGGAGCAAACCAAGCTCTCCAGCTCAGCTCTACAGAGCAGCATCGGGATTTTAATCTATTTGTTTAATGTCCTTTCTTTGCTGAAAAACCCCAAGTGGCCATAGGAAGAGGAAGCGTCTTAATGTTCAAGAGTACTGGGCCCTGTTCTACCCTCCACTGCGCTATCATAGAGTAATGAAATGGCTGTAATACAAATGTCTCATTTTATTCACAAAAGTGAGTCTGGCCAGAGCCGACCTGGTGGCAGCCATTATCCCCTAGTTTAGTGTGTGAGAACCTCCCTGAGTCACTGATACTCCATTAGGCTGAATGAAAATGGTTATGATTGGAGAGAGACAGAGGGGTTTCAGTAGATTCAAATAAAAAAAAATAAAAAAAGGCAAAATTGGAATTTAGCAGCCCAGATCATAATCCTCTTTGTCAGTGAGAAAATGGGGAGAGGCAGCTGGAGGCTTTTCACTGACAGATAAAATGCTCCATTATTTTACTTTATCCTCTCTCAAAACCCACACACCCACACGGTTATTTGACTAGGCAAGGGAGCGGAGAGAATACAGTCAAGGAGCAAGACACAGCCTCTTGTGTTTGTCCTCTAGGTCTGGAAGCCTTGTTGTCTTTTTGCTCAGGCAGTTTAGGAAATCACGGCTGGCCTTTCGCCGGGTCACAGCTGAACTTCCTGCAGTGTTTCAGTCAGGGTTCAGTGATCAGAAAAATAATGCTTGTACATGCATGACAGATCTGTAACGAACAGTTTTCCATTAAAGTTCATTTATACTCCTTAGAAAACTGAGAAAGGTCAACCAGTAAGCTTGAAATTTAGTAACAATTGATGCATTTTTAATTACTTTCATGGATAATCCTCTTAAGTTTTTTTGGGTTGCTAAATTTACAAGATGCCACTAATTTTTTTTTCTTCATTAATCTACTAATTTTTTTCAATTAGTCATGTAGTCTAGAAAATGTCAAATAATGACAAATGACCGATTCAAGCTATTAGAGCCCAAAGTTTTACCTTAATGATTCTGATAAGAAGCCAGAAACTCATAACGATAAGAAAGAAAGGAGAGGGAGCTCATCTTAGTACTTCAACTTTGCCCAACTTCTGAGGTAGATATCAAGTATGTGTGTGTCAGTCTGAGTCTATTTAAATTTAGCTCAATCTGTAAAGTGAATTTATTAAACTCTTCATTCTGATTGAATCACTTCAGCAGGAAGCTGATTGCTGCTGATCCCAAACCAAAGCATTGTTGCTTATTAACAACAATGACAAATTGTGTGTTTTAGAAAACACAACTGGTAATTGTGGCTCCTCCGACATAGAGCTACTAAATGCATTTTTGCATCCTGTAGCTTTATGTGTACAGAGTAATTCTCCTTCACACTCTGCTCGGCTCTGTCCTGGTGCCTGCTGTTTTGGTGCATTTCTGAAGAAAGTCAGCATGCTGTACTCTTCTTAACCCAAACTTGTTTCACACTCATGTGGCTTCACAGCAGCATTTGGATCCAGTGTCACACAATTTATCAGGACCTGCTGCATAAGACCCGTCCAGTTCGGCTGTAACTATAAGCTGGTTAGCCGTTGGACAATATTTAATAAGCACATTGAACCTTGAACTACCCATGTTGAATTTTTGTGATTTTTGTAAAGTGTAATTAAGTTGTGACTGGCATGGCTGTGAAATAAAATGCATACATACAATACACGAAAACTTAGCTAGGAGCTATTTGTAATTTTTGCTATTGCTACTTAGCCAAATTAGCATTAACAGCTACTTACTTACCAGTCCAGAAGAAACGTTGCGAGTTCATCATTAAAGTTAATTCATTCTTTACTCATCGAGAGGTGTGTCCAGCGATGGAAAGCAACGCTGATGTTAACTCCCTTCTTTTCTTGTACTGATGTTAGCATGCTAACCAGCTAGCCCCAGCCCATTTCAGCGCGTCTCGTCACTTTCCAATAGCGGGTTATATTTCAGATAGCATAACAGATATTGTGAATGTAAATATTAGCAGTTTGATGAAATTAGTTTCATTTTTTTGAGATAAATCCATGTATTGACTTTTATTTGTTGTGTTCTTCATGTATCGCTTGACTGTGTGTTAAGTGTTTTTTGTTTTGTTTTGTTGTTTCTTTTAAATTTCCTACCAGTTGATTATAATTGTTTTGTTCCTATTTACCTGCAAAGTCCTCTAGAGCTCAACTGACTCATTAACCGAGTGAGTCCCAGTGTGGTCTGGAAAGCTTCCACACACAGTTGGCAATTCCTGGAAATATGTTGCACCAGTAGCTACTTGACTACTTGGAGATACAAGTGTGGCCCACAATCAGAGATCAAGTGGCCCCCTGCAGTCAGGCAGTCAGTCAGTCAGTCAGTTAGTCAGTCAGTCAGGAACCTCCTGCCTGATGACTGAGCTGAGTCTTACCTTGTGTTTCTCCTTTAGGTGCCTACGTGTGTAAGGGTCGCTCGGGCTGGTTGATGCCGCTGGGGGAAGCTTTGTGGGAGAACGCCGACCTCCAGCTGTGTATCCCTATGAAGTTTAAGAGGGCGCCCCCGCTGCCACCCCCTCCTGGCCCAGCCATGTGCGCACTGCTTTTAGACATGCTCGCCTCAAACCCAGATGCTCGGCCTCCGGCAGACCAGCTGGAGGCCAGAGTGCGCTCCGCTCTCAAAGAGGACTCCCACTGACACAAAGTGCGCTTAAGCGGCCATTATGGCTATAACCACTGTAGCCACTACAAGCAAATATTGACTGCAGACCCCCCGACTGCAGAGCTTCCTATATGTGTAAACAATAGCCACTTTGCTGCCACTGGGAAGTGGGGATAAGAAATGTGTATGATTATATGGGATTGTAGGTGCTATTTTTGTCACTGAAACAGCAGCCCAGTTTATAAACCACATAAAGGGAAAATAGGCTTGAACTAGATGAGATCCTCTCGTAGAAACCAGTCCATTGACCTTGGACCCCTGGGCTGCACTGCAGACAAAACACGCAATGATACTCAAACAAGTCCATAAAGGGATCTAGTGGGACTTGAGCTGTGTTTCCTCTAAGCACCATGCTGTTCAGGCCTTGATTGTTTGATATAAAAAAAAAATCAATTTTAGTGTGTACAGAGCTGAAATGAAACACAAGGGATGATTGATGCTATTGCTTGTTAAACAGATCTGCAGGGTTTTGGTGACTTCTCATTATCTCAACTTTATTTTGGGTATTCACTCAGACTTGATTTTTAGACATTGATGTTTTTACTTGTTATTTCTTTTGTTTTTGCCTCACACTGATGTAGCATGGACTGAACAGTCCAATGGGCTTCCACATATCTTGAATATATAAAGAAAGAGAACAAAGCATAGTAACAGCTGTCCATAGCAACACAATGCAAAACAATTGTCCTGTGATAAACACTAACTTTGTAACACAAGGAAGTGTTTTTATGTTGTTGTGTGTCAGCAACAGTTATCGATTCAAGTCAGGCTGTGGTTTGTGGGGGTTGTATTGGACTGCATTATATTACAGGGTGTTTCTAGTATTAGTAGTATATCTAAATAAGGTGGACACACCATGTCTCAGTATAATGCAGTGTAACAAAGAACAAAAACTAAAAAAAAATGGTGGTATTTATTGCAGGGCTGTTGCATTGCATTACCTCATACAGTTGTGTGTATTTTTCTTCTTTCTGTGTAATTAGATTTTTATTCATGCGAGACCGCTTCTTAAGAGATATTTATATCATATTTGTTTTGTACATCAATTTAAAATTTTAATTTAGTTTTTTTTTTAAGGGTTTCTTATTTTGAAATATTTTCCTCTCCATTTCTGTCAGTAACAGTAATTTGGGTCAGTAACGTTTTCAAACTGTGTGACTGTGAGCGTTTATGTGACAAATGCACTGAAAACTGAAAGTGCTAGCAGCACGAGACTCGAAGTGACTAACGATGGCTAATATACCGTCCCCTCATGAACAGGAAATTAAAGCCAGGCATTAGGATTGTTGCTGATCATATCCATACTGAGTCCACAGCATTTATTATTGGCCATCAATCTTAGTCATAAGTCCGTATCTTAGATGGCTACTTATTTCAGAATTTTTCTCCCCACGTCTGAAAACATGGATACACGTTTCAACATGAATTGTGTCCAGAAATCCTTGTAAAAATGTAATTTAATTACAGATGAAATTGTGCCTTGTAGTAATGTAACTGTTCTTCATACTGAACTCAGAATATTTGAATAAATGCAGCATTAACATGACAATAACCACTCGCCTATTGTCTCAGTGTGTCTGTGATAAGACTGTTGACCTCAGCGGTGTCTGTGATGTGGACGTCAGGCGGGCAAGTGGAGATTTAAGCCAGCGAGCCCGGCTCAACTAACCCCTCTGCTCCCGGCTCAATGAGGTTGTCTTTGATAGATCTGTGACCTTTTCTGGTGCGAACGACTCCTCGCGCTCTGCTGGTCAGCCAATAGCTCACACAGATGACCTCTGACCCTCCTACTTCTCGGGTGATTTCTGAAGGAATGGAGCGAACTTTATAAGTTTAGGGTTGACTGTGTTACACGCGTGGTTGGAAACATCTTCATACGCTGATGACTCCTCATTCCTCGCGTCCATTGCTGGCTGTGAAGTGACGCCTCTTAGTCTGAACTCGGGGTAAAAGATGGCTACAAAGTCCACAGCTGTTTTCTCATTGAGCTACATTCAGAGGGAGTTTATGCCAAAAGAAAAAAAAAAACAAAACATGTAACATGGTTTGGCTAACTTGGACTGCAGTATTCATGTCGGATACATTTTCCCACAGGACGGGATGAGGACTGCGGCTCCTCATTTCTCACAATTGGAATCACATTAGGAAGGAATCAATTTCCAGCCAGTAGGAGAACAGGATGAATGAATGCAGTCATTTATAACGCTTTCAATGTATTGATGAGCACGTGAGTATTGTATTGAGACAGGCTTAATAAACAATGTAAACATATCCCTAAGCATAGACCTCTAAAAACCTTGATTTATGGAAACTTCCCTCATTATTTCTGTGATCTCAGGACTAAGCTTGCTCTGCTCGCTTGCAAGTTTGTCTTAAAACAGTAGCCAGGTGCCCATATGAATATTGAAACAGGTTTTTCTTGCTCTAATTATTCTTCAGGTTCATACTGACTATTTAAATGCTTCTTCCTGGTGCACTTTCAGTGAAATGAGGAACAAAATGCAGAAGGAGTTTTGTATTAAAAAGAACTAAGGAAGATATCCACTTCATTTGATTAATGCAGACTGCTGAAGTCTCGTATTAGATAAAGTTTTGAGTTCATGAAGAACAGAATGAATGAGGACTATGAAGCTTTTTCCTAATCAAATGCATTGAAAGCACACTAAAAAGGAATCAGTATAAACACGGGGAAAGACTGCAACAAAAAATACAAAAAAACCTTCAGTTTTCATATGGACACCCGAATATTGTTTTAAGACACACTTCAAAAACGTATCCTTTAATGTCTTGGTCCTATCTTAAGTTACAGTAAAATAACATGAGTCTATTTGATTGCAAGCAGCTCTTTGAGCCAAACGCTAACATCAGCATGCTAAGCTAATATCATCACTGTAACAATGCTAACAATGCTGGTGTAGCATGCCAACGTGTGCTAAATAGCATTAAATACAAAGTACAGATGTTGGGAATGTTAGCTGAAATAACTTTGCACGTGTCATAAATTGGACAAATTCACAATTTGACTTGATGATGCAGTCAGATGGGAAGTCAGGGGGCCACCAGAGTTATTACAATTTACCCCAGTTCCTCTGCGGATATTGAGAGGAATCATTGCATGGTAATGGTAACCGTATGGTAACTGTATGGTAACACCACCATCCTGAGTGTGCACCCCTGCCAGAGCAGTAGCACTTATTGGAATAAGAAATACTGGATAAAGGATTTTGCAGCACCTTATTAAAAAACTCTTATTATGACTATGTGCTCTCCTCATTTTAGTACCACTTATCTTCTCTGCATGTATATTGAATTTGCACACATGAAAGAGGTGACTAAAAGTGATATTTAACAGTCACAGTAAAGTTGACATATTATACATTGTGTAACTTCAGTGATGTGAGAAAAAAAAAACAATCTAAATTTGAGACCTTTATTATCCATTATATTATTTACAAGAACTAATTGGGTAATTCATTTGATGGTGAAGTGAGATTCAGACAAAAATCAGCAAACTTAAATCCCTTTTCTCTTGTTTCACTCTGCTAATTTTAGGATCATTCACTTCAGTAGAGTTTAACTGAAGCTGTTATACCTCTGCTCATGTTGCAGTGAAGATTAGACCAAAGTCTCCTTCCTCTACAGCACAAATCAGCTCAGCACAGACTCAGCGAGTCTGAGCGAGAGGAAAGTCCTTTCAGATTTCACAGCTGATAGCAGGAGTGAGCAAGCGTGGAGAGAAAGCCCAAATCTGGCCGATCCCTCACTGCGTCAGGACTGCAACAGCAACACACAGCACAGCACAGTCACGACACAGGGGCCGCATCCAGGAAATTACGCATGGCCGTTCAGCTTCAGTCGCCCCGTGCAGCTTGGAATCTATATGAGACGTAGGTCGCAGCGTTTGCCTTTTGGGCTTTATTGCTGGCTATTCTTCAAATGACGAACCGTTTTCAGTAACAGTGCGGGGCTGGACGCAGCATTCACTCAGTGCTCAATAGACAGGTAACTGATGGAGATGTAATTGGAAAGGCTGTGTCAAATGAGCCAGTGAAACACTCTCATAGGGCAATCATCAGGGGTCTCCTGCAAGGGCCAGCACCCGTGACATTGGGGAATACATCACCGGAGCCACTCATATGATGTGACCTTTCATTGGAAGCTAAAACCTTTTTCGGCTATTCTGTCATTTACATTTAATTATTCAAATATCTTCAACAACTTTCTCTCACAAAGTAGAAACTAGACACAAAGCTGTAACTGAAATATACTTTATTCTCTGAGGAAAAAAGAAAAATGGTCAAGTGATGTGTTCAACATCTGGAATTCACCAGAACACATGCATGAAAGAAAAACAAGAAACAGGATTAAGTGCGGAGCTTTAAAAAGCAATTTATGTAACGCTAATATTCAATTTCCTGCCCTATAAATCAGAATTGTGCAATTACACAACGGCTGCCCAGTGAGGACGCTTCCCACTGCTCATTCATCCACTGCCAACCATTAATGAACGCTTGACTCATAATGGGTTTTCTATTTAGTCGCAACATAAACATGATTAACTCAAACCGAGATGCTAAACAGGTTCCTCGTCCTAAACGAACACACAGAGAAATATTTAAGGGATACCCAGACATCTCAGTGGATTTAAAAAATGCCTCAGCAGCCTCATGGTCAAATTCAATCAGTCCCGTTTGCTGGAACAGAGGTCACTGACAAGGCACTGGTGGAACCCATTTATTTCAATGTGGAGAGCTAAAAACTACCAACACGTCATTGTTTGTGTGTCTTACTTTGGAAGCTGTTTAGATAAGGAGCAGACTAAAATGTAACATTCAAAATTGTCAGTGTCCACATCCGCCTGTCTGTAGAACTCGAGACACGGTGAAGCTCTGACTTCATCCCAAATAGCTTTGCTTTACTCCTGACGTCCTCACACCGTCTCCTTATCTAAACAAAACGGGAGCAATGCATGAACAGCATTCCCAAGTGTGTTCCAGATAAAAAACAGATGCATGAGCTGCGAGAAAAACCATTATATCCTCTGATGCTCGAAGAGCTAAACTAAAAATAGATATTGTCTTGATAAATAACATCATTTGTGCGTGTGTATGTTTGTCTTTTATTGTCCGGGTTCAGTCCATTCCCGGTCCGTACAGGTCCTTCACCATGTACGGCCCCACCAGCTCGTAGCCCATCTTCCTGTAGTAGTTCCTTGTTCCTACGCCTGCAGAACAAACCATGGACAGAAGACAACAAAGTACTTAGTGTATAAGAATCATAGAAATGAAGAATTAAAAAATTACAATGTGCAAGCACAAAGTAACTAGAGCCGATCTCATATAAACCTCTGTATGTATGTAGATGTTTGTGTTCAGATGTCTGAGGAGAGGACACATGATGCCTCACTGTGCTGTTTTGTCTCTTACCTGAGATCACAGCTAATTTTCCAGAGCCGTGTTCATCTCTGGCAATTCGCTCTGCCTCCTCCATCAGCATCATGCCAAAGCCCTGCACGAGGAGGAGAGAGGAGAACAGATCGGCATCTGGTTAATAAGTCAGAGGTTTTTTTTGGGGGGGGAATCTTTACTTTACATGTGGAGTCTGTGTGAGAAATCATAAAACACCTGATGCTGGAACTTGCTGGGGTCTCGGCTGCTGACGGGGACGACGCTGCCGTAGACGTGCAGCTCGCGGACGATGGACACGCCTCCTTTGAGCTCAGGACGGAAGGACTGTGGAGAGCAGCGACGCAGACGCAGCAGGCCAATCAGGATGTCCTGCTCCGGGTCCTCGTAGGAGAGGAAGGTCTCCCAGCTGCCGTTGGCCACGTAGTCCCTCCGCACCAGCTCCACCTGAGCAAATATTCACCTTTGTTAGAGGAAAATACATTTCACTTGCCTCTTTTCTTGAAGCAGCCTTCATGTCGTCATCGTCTTGAACAATACAACATCACCGTCTTTTAATCCCAACTTTAATCTCCAACTTTCTAAAAGCGATTACTGTATTGCCAGATGCTTCTTGTTACCTGGTAAGGTCTGACTTTGTGGTGGATCTCCTGAATGCCGACTTCTCTGGTTCTCACGTCTCGACACTGCAACAGAGAAACATTCAAATGTGTCAAACCAGTTTAGAAACTCAAAACTTTCGGACGTCCTCGATGATGTAACGTTTACATCGGTTTGAATTTCTGGCTTAAATTATTTGTGAAATTTGTTTAATAGTTCATGAAATTAAACGCTGTTTTCGATACTGTTTATGGTCAGCATTTTTCAGCAGCAGCTTCACTGTTTACTGCTCACTCTCCTGCTGCTTGAAATCTGTCAAGAGAGTAATGGAAAACGTAGAAGCCGCCACGGTGAGATGAAGAGCTGCAGGCAACAGGCTGCACACCTCCAACTCCTCAGCTTTACTGTGTCCTGCTGTTGTGTCAAATCAGATTGTGGTTGCTCCTGACGCGATGGAAAAAGGAAGCTGCAGGATTCACCTGTTGCTGCTGCTCAAGGAGTGTTAGCTGTAGTTTGCTTTTACCACCAGTGACCAAACCGGGACTAAAATCTTCGGGATTACAACTCTAAAGGTTTTCAGTTGGAGAAGCTACAGTTTCCTCGAAAGAAGAAGAAAATGAGGTGAAGACAAGTTTCTGCTCTGCCTGTTTCATAAAGCTACAAGCTGGTTGGGAAATCTTTGAAAAGTCGGTGGGAAACTAGGTCAAAGTTCGAATAATTTGAACTTGGCACAGTTTTGTGGAAGTGCAGTGCAAAATATTATATACAACTCTGAGGCGCAGTAGTTGCAAACCAAAGCTCAGCACATAAGAAAAGATATTTTTGCAAGTGAAGCAAAACCAAGAAAATGTGGTGGTGGAGAAAAAAGAGCTTGTGTTTGTGTGTGGTGATATTTCAGCTTGATGGTCAATAACTGCCCTGGTTTATAATAGAAGCTAACAGGAGGCTCTCCCCCCCGTAGGTGTTTTCAGATGAAGAGTTTATTATCTGAGTGTGTTTTAATGGAAGCTGGGGAGGGGTCTTCTGCCTTGTGTTTAGTTGGTGACACCCCGGCCTGGTGTTCTCAGCCTGAATGAACTCTACTTCAACTGGAGTCCTCAACTACTTTCTACTTTCTAACATATATTCAATAAATGTTGGGGCTTCCTGGAAGGAGGGTGCTCCAATTCCATGCTCCAGGAGCTCTTAACTACACCTGAGAGGCTTCGTAATCTGCAATCTTCCTCTATCACAGCAAAGTATGCAAATTATTCTGACTGTCAGCATTCGTCTGTTGGCAGACACCGCCACCTGAGGTCTACTGTACCCGTTTGGATCGCATCCCAGCTGGGAAAAAAAAAAGTCTATTAGCTTCCTTATTCAAAATAAGCTGACGCACAGTCTTTCAGTTTAATAAGAAAGGCCTTTGAGTCTCACCTCAGTGCCCATGTCCTTCATCCTGGCCAGTGCCAGCTCTCTCAGGTTGCCATGCTCCACTCCGGAGCTCACCAGCGGCATGGGGATGTCCCTGATGAGCGGAACGAGAGCAGAGAGCGGGGAAAAGCCAGATGATACATGAAATGATGGAAGAATGGCTTTTGAAATGGGATATTACAGACACAACCACAGAATCAAATCTATACCAGTTGATTTAAGTACATAACTCTGTGGGTATCTGTTTAGTTTATCTATACTTGGTGAAGGTTAGGAGGGAGGCAGGAATCTTAAATGTAGAGTTAGTCAAAGACACACCACCACTGCAAAATCCTGCAGCGCTCCTCTCAATGTTTCCATATTCATTACTCATATTCATTACCGCTGACAGTTAGCTGCTGTATTTATGTGTCGCCTTACAGTTTTTGTGGGAGCGTCCCAGTATAGGTCATAGATTTTTTCACAGATTTTTGGGCGGACAGAACAACTGGCTTTTCTCTTGAAAGAGGAAAACAGCTTCTGTTCTAATACACACTATAAAATGGAACTATAAAAGATCAATTGATAATAAATTAAGTTCAGTTACTCTTTAAAGCTGCAGATTTTTGGCCACTAGAGAGCAAAAACACACAACATGTATTAATTGTCTTACCATTTTAACACATCTGGCTGTTGTATCTACTGACACAGAGCCACATTAGCACCAGGAGTCGTGTTTGTGAGCACCTACGATATCTGCTTCTTTAGCTGCTACATGTTCCTGTTTTTTGTTGTCCATGTTTCTTTCCACTTTATTCGGCCTTTACTGTGATTGGATAGGCAGCATCAACTCTAATTGTCTGAGCTAAGAGGGTAGACTGATGAAGAGCTGTCAACCCTACAGTTTATGTACAGCCAGGAAACCAAAACATTGGGCTGAAAACTGCTAAAAGTCACAGAGTTTGTTTTTCTCAGCTGCAGGGAAAGCAATGGACTTTACAAAGAGATAATTGTATCAGTGTGTCTTTATCAACATTATTCCCTAATGGAGCTTTAAACTACAGTCATCCAACTCCTCAGGCCCATTTCTTCTTCTCTTACCTCTGCACCCGGTAAACTCGTGTCCAGGGCGGCACCAGCGCCAGAATTCGGGCCACAAGGTCCACCAGGGCGCTGGGTGTGTAGCTCTTGTATCGGCCGGTCTTCCACAGCTCGTACAGCCCCGTGCCTCGGATCACTAGCGTTGGGTACAGCTTCAAACCATCAGGCCTGAACGCTGGGTTCTCAAAAAACTCCTGCGAGAAACAACAGACCCGTGTTGCACATTAAAGCGTATATCAGGCGAGGAAACAAGACGGAACAATTCTTCAACCATTACAGTTTGTTTCTCATCAGTCAAACTGAAGTATTTCAACATGAATCAACAGTATCTCTTTTGCCATAAATCATTTTGTCATGTCAGTGTGCTGTGTAATAAACTTCATGGACTAAAACTGATTGAACGCTGCCGTATTTGCCGTGTTAAATCGGAGATTGATGGATAGAAAGAGAGAGAGAAACAAAAAAAAGAAGAGAAAGCAAAGAAAAGTGGTTCTGAGAGTTCATTTCATTTCATTCATTCTGCTTTTTCTACACGACCAGATCGCAGCAAAGAAGAGTGTCTGAACATTCGATCAAAGAAAAAATAGAAAAAAAGGGCCCCAGTCTTCTAGACATAAAAGAAGACATCCACTGAGCTCGTACAGAGCAGATATCACAGAGGACAGGACAACTGAAGGAGACAAATGCGTTTGTATGGTTCAGTGCAGTGAAGGGAATCAGTGTGATTTCCAGTCATTCTCTTCCCCTCTGTACCGACTATCATGATCAGAACCGTGAAGATCTGGAATCAGGCCACATCATCACTATCTCATAATCTCTCTCTCTCTCTCTCTTCACAGCTTATAACCATACGAGGACATGTCCCACATCGCCCTGCACTAAACCTGAAGGAGAGGGGAGGGGTTGTCTGAGAAAATAACAATGAAAGAGAAAAGGAGTCTAGAGATTATTTTGGGGATTTTGCACCTGCTACCATTTTGGATCGCGCATCACAGCTCCTGTTGGTCGGCGGAGAGGAACCCTGTTAAGGATTCCTCCCCCGGGACAGGGAGCGTCTGTACGCGAGAGATAAGTGAGAGAGGATCTCGCACTGGGAGGAAGTTGTAATCGAATTTCATTATCAGGACAGAGACGATAGACGCAAGGAGGATGCAAAGTTCTCCTGCTGCTGCTGTTGTTGTTGTTGTGATCCAGGCTGACAGAAGGAACTCAGTGTGATGTGATGAGGACAAAACATACAAGCGATACACAAAGGTTGATTAGGAATAATGTTTGGTAGTTGGTGAGTAATGCAAGAGGGAGAACAAAATTAAGAGATCCCAGAATCCTTAAACTGGCAACCAGCACTGCAGAGCTCTGTACTGAGACGGCCTGAATGGCATCATTATTATTATTATTATTATTATTCATTTTCACAGCGCTCCGTTCACATTCAAGTAAACATCCCTGCACTGAAATCTCAGCTGCTTTTTTGCATCATATTTGCAGCATTTGGACACTGAGAGCAAACAAAGATGTCAACATCCACGATCTGGATCTTTTCATTCACGCCATCAATTCATTATCTCTCCCTCCTTAATCCTTTTAAGGGTCGCCGGGCAGCTGGGGTCTTAGTCACAGGACGGGCTGTGCGAATATATATTAACTCCGTGTCTAGTGGCTCCCAGTCTTCTTCATCCCAGCCTGTGCGGACACGTGGCTAGTCTTCTTTGTTTTTTGTTAGATGATTGAAATAAGTCTGTGGTTAACACAAGCTCAAGACATTTTCACAATTTATTCTACAATATAAAATCTGTCAGTAAATACCCCCAGTCGTGATTTTGTTTTAGCTTTTACGCCTCTTAAAAAAGTGTCTAAATGAGACTACAGAGGTTGTCACCAAACCTCATCACGTTTAACACAAGGCTAAATTTAGGCATCCTGGACTATGGCATATACTTGAACATACATATACAAAGACTATAAATGTGAGCCATGAATCCAGGGCCCAAAGATATTTTCCACTACCTCTACTTCCTGTCTTTCAAAACCTGACTATTCCTGGATGCTCCCTGTGTCAGAGTTGCAGCAGGATCCAGGCTAAGCATCTCCGGAAAAAAAAACCCAAGATGCTTAGTTTGGATCCCGGAGTGAAGATGTTTAAGAACTTGCATATTTTTCCCACTTACTTGCATGAAGTGTGTCATGGAAGATTAGACATGTTGAGGAGGAGCAAAGGGGAGCCGGACACAAGTTGTATAATCTGTGGGTGTCAGTGTGATAAGAGGGGAGAAAGGCAGACAGGGAGGAGGTGTGACCGGACAGAGATGAGAGAGGGGCGATAGATGAAGTGACTGCAGAGATGAGAAGAAGAAGAAGTGACTGTCTGATAGGAGAAAAGAGAAAGACTCAAGTGAAAATTTACAACTGGAGAGGAGAGAGAAGAAAAAAGATAAAGCGAAAGATAATGGAGAGGAGAGAAAAGCACGAGGGGAAAAAGACAAACAAGGAGACAGGAGGAGAGGAAATATTGAGACTGCACACACACAAGACAGCAGCAGGGACAGAAAGAAATTAAGTGTCGGGCGAAGACAAGTGACAGAGGAAATGTTACAGGAAAGAAAAGAAAAGAGAGTCTGAGGGCCGAATACACATTTAATCTGCTTCCTCTCACTGTGCCGACCTGCTGCTGGCCTCCACATTACCATCAAACACACATTCACACACACACACACACACACACACACACACAGGTAATGTAACAAATCTGCAGGAAGACACGGACTCTTTTCCGCGACTTAAATCTCCTGGGGAAATATGAAGCACTCAGAGCTGCTGATGCTCAGAAGATTGGGGGGCGTGTCCTGATGCCTCCATCGCTACACATTTTACAGTCAGCACACAGAAATAACCTCTACAAACAAAAAAATTGAAAGAGTGCTCTGCTTTCAGATCACTAAATAACACCAGCATCCAATCTTCAGCATCTTCAGGGAAAATAATAACATGACGGTTGAATTTCTATTTCGTTGTGCATCACAGCTGACATCTGGTCAGCAGTTGGGGACAGACATGTCGGTCTCTCTGCTCTGTCTCAGATCATTAAACCTGCATTCTGTCCACTCCTGCTCCCCCCCGACACAACACTACAGCATATTGTGATTTAAACACAGCCCAACAGATTTATCAACCAATATTAGCTCATTGCACTCATATCAGCATCAGCACATTCTGTCCACCAGAGAGTTACATAGGTTTATTTTTGTCATGTTTTTTTTTTTTTACCATAGATTGTATATAAGAATGAACGCAGCCTCTGTGATGTCACCTTTTCTGAAGAGCGGGCTGCTCCGCCGTCGCCATCTTGGCAGTGCCTGACTCCGCCTAACTCCTGACTAATCCAAAATCACGCAGAGCAGAGACTTCAGCACAAGCCAGTTTGTAGCAAGCATACGCTCACACACCTGTCCTGATCACCTGATCATTCAGGGAACTGCAGTTTAACTGTCTCTTCCCTTTTGTTAGATATTTTGGGTTATTAATTATGTGTGAACACAGTCTGTCATGTCTTAAACAGGATAATGCGATCATATCTCTGCCTTCTACTCGTCAGGGATTAGAGGATGACTTTAAGAAGTGGTCTTGAATAATGTGCAGAAGCATATTTAGGTTCTTTATAGTGATTCCATTGTGAAGAGATGAACAATCCAAAAAGCTCTTATCAGTACTTCCTTAGTAACAAGGAGATGTGTCTTTTATTAAAGGCGATAAAACACGGAGCTTTAAGTCCAAGAGCGCCACATCACTTAGCTAACAGTAAGCTAAATTACTTTGTGACGCCACTTTTTCGGATTGCCCAACCATTCCTGTCTATCATGTTATATCTGCTTTGGTTATCCTGGGGCAAAAACTAAACCCTGAGCATGGGCCCTTCCAGGTGAGGTACCGACGCACACGCTCAAAAGTAGACTATATTTATTTTTTTCTCTCCGTCTGGTATCTACAATAGTTTGGCTTTTATTTAACTAAACTCATAACAGACTTTTATTAGAGGCAGGTCTTTATGTCTACCTCCCTGTGTTTGACATGTAGAGTTAGTACGGTTAGTACTAAGCCTCATTACCGGTGACGTCTCTCTCTCCCTCCCTCTCTCCTGCTCGGTGTTTCTTATGTTTAGTTATTCAGCCTCCTTTAGTAATAATGATACATGTAATGAAAGTAGTTTACACTGAGTCTCGCCTCCATTGTATTGGAAGCCCTTCTCCGCTTCCCGGCAGTTTCCGAGCAGCCGGTCAGTCAGTGACATTCATGATTATAGGGCTGGCCATGCTGTTACAGTCCAGCCAAAAAAAAAGTCACTAAAGGGAATCTAATTTAGCGTCTAATCTAGCGATAAAGATGCTAAATTTGCAACCATCTTGCCATTTGTGTTCACATTTGTTTGATCACATCAGTCATTCACCTGCCAACACACAACAACACACAATGTAAAGTTAATTGCTAGGTGCTTTTTTGAAGGGGTCTGAAAAGTCTGTAAATCTAGCAACAAAGGTGCTAAATTGGCAACAGTGCTTGTTCGCGCCAAATCATTCTGAAATAGCAACGAGTGATGAGGAAACCGCGCTGTTGCGATTCAGTAAAAAAATTATAATACCTCAAATTTAGCCAGCTGGGTGTGGTCGTACTCTCTGAGCAGAACACAACTGTTTCCACATTAATCTGAGCGTTCCATCAATTTGTGTCGTCTCCTCTTGTTTAATTAGGAGCTCATTACAGAGGAACATTGAGGGCTTGAACTTCTTCACCTCTGTAAGACACTGAAGACTGTACTTTTGTAATTCAACACCCACTGAGTCGCCACAATGCCAGCAAGCAGAAAGAGCAATAAAAATATTACAGAAACATTTGATTTACAGACAAAAAGAGAGAGAAATTTTTCACTATTGCTGGTTCTCAGTCAGTGACTGACACATTGCACTTCTGATTACTCACCTGCACCGATTAGTAATACATATTCTTTTCCGTCACTGTGTCTTTAATGACTCGATTTCTGTTTTATCGCCGTATGAATAAATCAAATGAGCTGAAATTGCGCACAGCCTCAAGCAGAGTCTTCATTTACATCCTACAGTCGGGCGTGTTGGGAAGTGGCACCGACTGATTCTGCACATTCACATTATAGCTGTGTTTTCAATCAGAGCGGTGGAGTGAGCCTGCTGTTGAGAGACAGGAGTTTTATCTGTTGAGTCACATCTCAGTTGGGACTGTGAGTCGACTGTCACCGCTTTTTCCGTTTCTATTTTAAGACGCTACATGTAGGACTTACTTGTTATATACCACTGTGAGATAAACAGCAGTGACGCACTCTGATGCCAAGCGAAAAGAGAGGATGACATGATTACTAATGTCACAAACAATAAACCTTACGATCAGCTCGGTGCATAATTTTACTGGTATTATTTTTTGTTGGGAGTTTTTTTTACTCAATTTGTTTCTGCAACTTTGTCCACATGAAACTCAGAGACTATCCTACAAATAATGTCTAAGTCATTTAACTGTTGTGTAATTAAAAGTGGACTACAAGCTCCAGTGTAACTCTCTGCAGTGAACTTATATTTCCCTTTGGTTACAGTTAAATAATGACAAGACAGAGATCATGGTTATCGGGGGAAAAAACTAATAGACAGGAAATCTCTTTTAAAATATCACAACTGTTTCTGGAAACCGTCACACAGGCTAGAAACCATGTGTGAGTGATCCTGGATGCTGAGCTCTCTTTCCAGAGCCATATTAACAGCATAGTCAAAACCGGTTTTTATCATTTAAGAAATATTGCTAAAGTAAGGACGTTTTATCCCAGGTGGACGCTGAGAAACTCGTCACAGGAATATCACAGAAACTCCTTGGATCGTCTGCAGCTGCAGAGTTTTAACAAGAAAAAGGAAATACGACCATATATCACTTGTGCAGAGGTCGTTACACTGGCTTCCAGTAGATTTTAGAATTGATTTTAGAATCTTAAATGCTTGTTTTTAAGGCCATACTTGGTCTTGCACCTCAGTATATCTCTCTGACTTGCTTGTGAGGTATGAACCAGCTAGACCCCTCAACAAAAACTGGTGAACCCGCCTCCAGCTTTTATGCTCCAAGCCGCTGGAACACGGTGTCTGATCATATTAGAGGTTCTCCTACGCTATCATCTTTTAAAATCTGAAGTGAAAACATTCCTTTTTAGCTGTGCTTCCCAGTGGTCTGGTTTGCTGGTTTATTCTAAAGTGTTAAAAATAACAACTAAAGTCTTTTTGCTTACAATAAACTGCTCCACGTCCCTCTCTATGCCCACGTTGGGCAGGTCCGGCATCATGTGGGCGACCACTTTGAAGCCGGCGTCCTTTGCCAGGTGGAAAGACTCACACACAGCTCGCACCGTGTGGCCTCTGCGAGAAACACACATGTACAAACACACTGTTAAAACAAACAACAACAAAAAAAAAAGCCTGCAGGTAAACCATCACACACCATCAAACCAACTGCTATCACATCACGTCTGCCGCCTTATCTACATCTGTCCGTTCATTCCCTCCCCGAGCGACCGACCTGTTGGTGTCGCGGGCCACGTCTTCATACACACTTTGGACTCCTATCTCCAGCCGGGTGCAGCCGTAGCCCAGCATGTCACTGAGGTGTCGCTTCAGGCAGTAGTCAGGGCGTGTCTCTATAGTGATTCCCACACACTTGGTGTTACTGCGTTCAGAGTACCTGCAGGGGGAAAACGTCTCAGTCATTTCTGCTCATAATATGTATAATATCTTATAATAACATCTTCTTTTTTTTTTTAAATGTGACTATTTAGTCTCATTGAGTGTGCTGGAAGTCTCTATATGCTGGGATCATTTAGCAACATCAATTTACATGCAGCGAGTTTGCACGGCTCATTATCCCGACAGTTAACACTAACCTCACATTAAGGACACACTGACTGCAATAAAGAAAACAGACGGCAACAAAAAAAAGTGTAATGCAGTGTTTACTCTGTGTCAAAAGCAAGTTCAATACTTACATTATTCAATCATTTATAAATCATGGCTGTAAGGGGATGTAGATTAAGTTTCTAAGTAAGTATTTATCACTCAGCTCTGCAGTTTCCCCGTTTCAGTGTCTTTCAGCTTATTGTTTTGGTTTTGCACATGTTCGGTTTCAGTCCCACTTCTCTCATTAGCGTTATTTCTAGCAGGTGAATGCTCTTAATAAAAACCTACTGTACGCCAACAGCAAACAAAGTCAACTAACTGGTGAACACAGCATTTAGACCTTTAAGATACTTCCCTCAAATTTGGTGTTGATCATTTGCTGGATGTGTAAACTGTATTAACCATATCAACTTTTAAAAAGGTGATACTTCAATATGTCAGTGTTGTGTTTAAAGCTTGTTGTGCAATAACAGTCAGTCAAATTCTTAAAATGACATCTACTCCGCCACCATCACTGTAAAATCCTCTATCTGTGAATATGTCATTCATTTCAAAAGTTTACCCTCTAGACACAAGACATCTGCTGCATGTGCTTCACTGAAAAGTCCTGTAGGTACTATTCTGTCCCCACAGCAGCAGGTTTGCTGATTAAAGAAGCAATAAGGTGCTAAAAGAAGCAGCCAGATGTAGAAATAGAGATAATGCACTACATTTCCCTTGTTTTATTCAAATGTTATCTCAAGCCAGATATTTTCAGAGCTTCATCTTGCCTGAATCTGGCTCCCCGAGTTAAATCCAAACTTAATTTGAATCACTGATCGAAATCGCAAAAAAAAACAACACAAAACAACCAAACAGACACATCTCATCTCGCCAGCTGTCATTTTCTCCACTCCGGCTGCTCCAATGACCATTAGCTCCCCTCATGCCAGCTCATATTCCTTCTGATTCTGTATTTGCTGGCAATAAATGTCCATCTTTTACAGTCTGCTGGCTGATTTACACCAATTACAGGAGTTTATGCTCTAGAGAGGATCATCAGATTGTACGAGATGAATCAATAAAAAGTCTATTATCTCGAGGTATCTCACTGCTGTGATCAGATCAGGTGCTGGGTGAGCATGGTGAGAGGCAGAAACATGAGCATCACACACACACACACACACACACACTGCCTTCGAGACCCAAACACACATCACAAATACCTCACATACATACACACACACACACACACACACACACACACACACACACACACACACAAACACCGAGGCAGAGATAAGGTGCTGTCGCTAGCCAAACTAAGTGCCTCCTTCTTCCCAAACTCAGCAGCGGCAACCACAATTACTATAATCATAACATCTTAACAAAGAATGCTGATAGCAGAGCAGGGCAAATTCAGGCAGACGCACACCTACCAGCTAACTCACGCATACACACACACACACACACAGACACGGACACACAAATACAAGAAGAGACACGCACAAACTGGCCTTTCGGGTCTTATCGGACTTTAGGGAAATAAATAGCCCCTGCTGAAAAACGGCCTCAGTCCTGTGAAAAAGCCATTATTTGGTCCAATCGTCTGTATGACGTCCTCAACAAATGGGTCTCTCTGCTTTGACTTTGACTCTTCTCCGAGTCATGGAGAAAGTTGCTCCTTATCCATACCCAGCAGACGTGTGCCCAATTCAATTCAGAGCTGGTCTAACTCAGTAAGAGAGAAATCAATAGAAGTAACTGAGGAGGACTTACTGAGAGTGCCCTCTCTTATTTTGCTCCTGAATTCAGAATGGATTCATTCAGCAGCCTAATCTGTGGAGATGGTCATTATATCTTAAGCTTCCTAAAGGATGTTGGGTGTTTAGTTGTGCTAAGTTTGAGGGGAAGAGGGGGGGGTGGAGTCAAGCGAATGTAAACACACCATGGTGTGAGTGCACATACACAGTTTTTACACCGTTTTTGCACTGGAGATAGTTGGGAGGGAGACCACAGGGGATGAAGGGAAGTAATGCTGAGTTCTTATTGTTTTGAACAGGAATCTGCTCTAGTCATTTATCAAAGAAAATTCCAAACATTCATTGGTTCCAGTTTCTAAACGGATTTACTCATTTTCTGTTTTTATCTCACTGTAGAATCAATATCTTTCAGTTTCAAACTATTGGTAGGACAAACTGAGGAATCTGAAAATATCTTCTTAGGCTCTGGGAAGTGGTGATGTGATATTATCTTGACTCTTTAAAAATATATAAACTAAAATATATGTATTTATTCAACAGATTCTTCAGTGATTCAGATTCTATAAGTAACTCATCGTCTGTCTCAGCCTCCATCTCATGTGGCGTCCCCCATGGGTGCATACTTGGTCCGATCCTCTTCTCCATCTATTTGCTTCCACTAGGCCACAATATTGAAAAACACAATATTCATTTCCACTGTAACGTGAATGATACACATATTTACCTTCCCCTAGATCCTAAAAGCTACAACAAACTAACTAACCTCAATAACTGGATTCTGGACTTAAGTTTGACAAACAGATTAATCAGGTAGTAAAATTAAGCTTCATGCAGCTCCGCATCACCTCCAAACTCAATTCTCAGTGTTTCTGACCTGGAGAAAGTCCATGCCTTTATATCTTCCTGACTTCATTACTGCAAGGCTTTTTATTTTGGAATCATTCATTGTTTATCTCGTCTCCAGCTCGTACAAAATGCAGCAGCAAGAGTTTTAACAAGAGCAGAAAATAGGGAGCCCATTACTCCTGCTCTTGCCTCTCTACACTGGCTGTCTGTTAGTGACAGAGTTCATTTTAAAATCCTGATGTTTGTCTATAAGGTGTTAAATCGTCTCCTCCCTTCTTACACTACAGAACTCCTCTCTCCGTATCACACTGTCAGAGACCTGAGATCATCTGACCAAAGACTTCTGTCTATCCAGAGATCTAGGACTAAATGTTTTGATCACAGGAACTTCTGATCTCCTGATTTAACCAGCTCAGATACTTCTCCTGAAGTCTCTGCAGGTCTGTGTTGTCAATGTGTTTTGCGTGACCATTAATCTTATTATCATCACTCAGACTTTCTTCTCTTAAATTAAGATAAGTTGAGTTAAAGAAAAATCAGATTAAAGGACTCTATGGACTAATAACCCACAGATTAACTGATAATGAAAATAACTGTTATCTGCAGCACTATCATTTCTAAAGAAAAAGAAAAAGGTTTAATTCTTAACACTCTACCTAGTTGTTTTATTTCAAGTTTAAGAAAACAGTCTTTTTATTTATGTCACATAGAACTGGCACGGGGAAAAAATATCCGACACTAGAGGAGGGTGAGATGAATAATGCCTGTAGTGGAAATGCTGCAAATGGTAGAATAGCGCCCTCTGGTGTCGACTACTGTTAAATATTCTCAAATATTAGTACTTTACATCTACAGCACATACAAACACTGAAGTGGGATAAGCTTTTATAGACGAGATTAATATATGAAAAAAGGTGAATATAAAAGTATCATAAATACTGTTAAAATATTCAGTAATGTTGCTCCATAATTGTATCATAGTCTTAAAAAGATGCCAGGAAAGAGAAAGCAAAAACAGCATTATTAAATCAAGTCCTCATCAAATGTTAAAGATGCCGAGGCAAATGGACAAATAATCAAATAACCAAATTAAAATGGAGCACATCAAAAACAGGCTATGAAACCCAGAGTTACTAAGCCCCCGCCCTGGAAGCTCTGGGGGCCATTTATGGTGAGATGCCAAATGCTGCAGCAGACCAGCCTCCTCCGAGAGGTCAGGGTGCTGCCTATAGCGGGGACACCCGGATAACTCCCTGACTGAGCACCTGCTCTGAGATCAGTTCTGCACTCGGCCCATCTGTTACTGCGGAGGTAGACCCTTCCCTCCCACCCCACCACAACTTACCTTCACCCCTAATGGTCTCACTACCACCATAGCTTATTTATTTCTATGTCTTATTCCACTACACACTACCCCAATTGTTCATTGTTATTAGTCTTTTTAACATGTTGCAGTCTCTTAATTATATGTTCTGTTAATGTTCGTCTGTTGTGTTGCATCTCATCAAAAATATAAAAATAAAAAACAGTTTTATTCCTCTGAGACCTGGAGGACACAGACCTCTGAGTCACTGAGTACCTGACAGCCTCGGCAACGCTGTTGGACGTGTGTCCTGACAGGGCGTCGTGTAGGTTCCTGATGAAAAAGTCTCTGTACTCCTCGGTCAAAGCCATGAAGGTCCCGCCCATCACGATGAACTCCACCTTGTCGACGCTGTGTCCCAGCTGCTTCAGCTGCACATCACACAGAGAACACACAAGCTTTTGTACAACTGTAACAGTAAAATGTGCAATAATGACACATTTTATGGGCTGTAATTGAGAATACAGTAAAGTGCAGTGAAGCACAGTAAAATAACGCTGTTCTCAAAATAATAATTATTACAACTAATCATAATATCTTGGAAAATAAATTGGAATTATACTGTGAGCAGCAATTGAACATTAAACCATGAAAATCATGAGAACTGCGGTAAATTGAGATTCAGAAACACAGATTTCTAGATAAACTGTTGCTTTAATGATTGGTTTTGCTCTGCTGCATTAAACTAATGTGGCCATAAATTCAAATAACAGTGTAACTGGGGTCAGGTCTTGGCAGGAACATAAGAGTCATAAGCCATCATTAGTGTATATTAAATATATATCAACAGTGGTCACGGTTTATAAATGTGTGCCAGCAAAGGCCATCGCTGTCACTATCACTGTACAGAAGCTGACTCGGGGAAATGGAAGTTTTAGCAACATGTGACTATGTAAAGACAAATTGATGAGACAGATGTGTCAAAGAGTTATCGATTTTTTCTGTAATGACACACTGACCTGCTCCACCCGATGCCTGGTCTGAAGGAAGGGGTCATAACGGGCTCGGATGGCTCTCATGGACGTTGGCTGTTACAGAGAAGAGCAAAAATGATTAAAACCATGGTAAAAAATAATATATTAAAGGAAAGTTCAACACAAAACCAAATTAGCTTGAGCTTGATTTGACTTAAGCAGTGGGACAAGGAACTATAAAAAGCACAAACAAAAGAAAACCATGATGACACAGAAAAAGACACAAACAAAAGCTGCTATAATAAACAGGGAATAATGAGACAAACGAGACCAGAATACATGACTTTCAGCAGAGCACCGTGTGCCTGGGAAGCAACAGAAAAGCTGCCTTGAATAGATACTGAGGCAGAATGAAACTAACTCACCTCATAACCAGTGTAAGACTGTGTAGAGTACTCAAAGTCCGAGTCTGGTCCCCCGGGACAGTAGCTGCCAGAGAAGAGAACGATTTATATTCAATGTAAGAACATTGAATCAATAAACATGTAAGTAATCTATTGTATGTAGAGTAACTTAAACTTTAACTTAAAAAAACAACAACAAAGAAACACTTACACACAGATGTTGCCTGTAAAACTGATGTGTGGACATCGGTGAGGTTTGCACATCACAGCCACAACTGCGATCTGTGACAGAGAGAGAAGCATTGAATACTTGAAATATTCTTCAAATTAAGTGATACATTGGTAATTAGGTATCTTTTCCTGCCCCCTACTCTCATACTTTCCAGACTATAATCTGTTCAAAAACAATCTCAACAGTCACTGTCTCCTTCTGTAAATCCGTCTTTACTGAAAAGTAATGCACAACACAAACTGGAGCTAATAAAATACTTAACCTTTAATGCTCCACATAAACCCAGATTAAAGAACATTCACACAGTTTAAAAGTTGAGGCCCATCGCCGCTAATAAAGAATATACCAATGGCTACAATTCACAACCACTCCAAAGGATTTTGAGGAATATTATGTGGCTAATTGTGAACTTTAATTGTGAACTTTAAAAATAAATAAATTAACCAATCACACTACATGTTTCATTGTCTTTGTGATTGCATCTATTAGACTGAAGTTACTTTAGACAATTCTGCTAAATGCCACATGATGCATTTTAAGTAGTTACAATCACACAGAGTTCAGCATAAAATTATTGACTCCAGGAAAGAGTGATAGACGGGAGAATGAGGGCTACATACCCCGCTGGCAGTGCGGATAGGTTTGGCCTTTAGTTTGGGCACCAGAGCACGACGGTATTGTGGTGGAACAGCGGCGATGATGTCTACCAATCGGGGCTGGGCTTCAAGTCCATATTTAGCTGAAGTCTTAGTCTTCACTCTGTTTGAGAACAGATTAGGCTGATTATGACTGGTAGAAAAAAAGTACCATAGTCTAGTGTACATAAAAAGAGTAAAGCATTGAGATCAAGTCAAAATTATCTTATAGTACGTATTACAAGACAAGTTATATATATCATTGTACCAGTACTGATTCCTACATGCATTTTTAGCCTTAATAAATACTAAAACCATTTTGAATATAAATGTAAAACCATTGCAATACAGTGGGTACCCACAGACTGGAATCAAAGTTCCCTTTAATTTAATCAACAATTATTAACAACAGGTCTTCCTGAAGCAAATACCCAGTAACTGAAGGATATATGTGGCAGAATTACCAGTGACATAATCATCTAATCACATTCAAATGTGTCAAGATATCAAGGTTAGTTTAAAGGAAAATAAAAACATTAATAATCTAGATATACAAGCACACAAAGGAGTGTTGCACTTAACTTGACTTAACTGTATGACTAGTTATCTAGAGTTCTTAAACACTGCATTAAAACTACAGAGGACTTTATCAATATGTAATAAGAATGTAGCCTGGGCTGTATGTCCATACAGGAGAGGACTTACTTGTTGAGGTTGATGTCTTTGCCCTCTTCATGGGCATCAACCAGCTGCTTAATGACATCAGCAATGGTCATCATCATCAGCTCAGCTCGGCTGAGGTCACCTGATAAAGACCAATAATCAATAAAATGTGATCTATTCTGTTTGACAAATCTCTCTCGCTTTTTATTTTTAAGTGCACGTCATTCAAAAGACTGAATTTAACAGTAGCAAACATGGCTAAGTAAGTGTTCAACAGTCCACTGTCCAAAAAGCAACGTTAATAGCTGATTGAATTAAGGCTTTAATATGTTTCCATACCATGAATGACTGGCTTATACCGTTATAAAATGACTAAACAGAGTTACGTCACTAACATGTTAAAAGGCGGAGGCAAAGTAGACTTGCAGTTAGCATTAGCAACAAGCTACAGCCAGTTTGACTAGTTTAGAAACCTATTTCAGATGTTTTAAGCACTTTGTCACAGACTCACTCTTTTTCTTTGGCTTCCCCATTTCCTCCTTTAAACAAATAGTCCAATTTAAAACGGGTGGCTGCTGGTTAGAGGGTCAACATCTATTTAATAAACCGGAGAGGGCTGTCAAAGACAGTAAACAACTCCACGTTGCGTTCACATACGGCTTCTGTCGTGCGGCAGGTACAATTGTCGTAAAATAGCGTGAACGAACTTTTTTTCGATATTAAACTGCCGTTTTCTGATGTTTTTAAATGGTTTCCGGAGTTAAAACAAGGCCTCGGTTTTATCGCCGGGGCACCATTTTAATTAGTGTTAACTGAGGGTATTTTAGGGATGTTTTCTTCGCATGTTTCGGACAAACCGCCTTGACAGAAAAGCACAGACTTGTAATGCATGTGGATCCACACAGTGGCGCTGACTTCCCTCTCAAACCGGTTGAGCGAGCGTGTGCAGAGCAGAGCGCAACTGGAGGAACCTGGAAGCTCAGTAAATCTCAAAGCAAATCCTTTTAGCTGCGAGTTGACATGGCTTGACTGATCTCTGCGGGAAGTTTCAGGAAATGCAACAGGTGGAAGAGCCGAGGCAATGAGCTGTGGACTGCCGTGAGTGATTTTTACACTTTCAGATAGACACCAGCGTTTCCAGGGTTCACTGTATTGGGGTCAGTTACATATATCAGCGGTCACTATGAACATTATTGAGCCCTTGTCTGTGTGTTTGCTCCGGTTACCCAGCTCTCTTTAGCGTCCCAGGCTAGCTGCTGCTGTGTGTACTTGAAGGTGCCTGTCGGAGTCGGACAGGGAAACAACTGCGCACTCTTTCACACGGTTAGTCAACTTACTCTCAACTGTACAGTTTCTACTTTAGCCTGTTATGTCTTCATGGGAGTTTTACACGCTGCTTTGAGTTGGGTTTAAGTATAAATATTGTAATATTAAGCAGGAGTCAGTTGCTTAATGCGTTTATTTATAGGGATATTGTATCTAACGCAATGAAGCTGAGGTGGAAAAATTAATGGATGTGTTCAGGTGTAACTTGGGGATATAAAAATGCACCTTACCATATGTACATAACATAACTGGTTGTATGTGTGTCCATTCATTCATTCATTCATTCACCACAGGTCAGGTGGCACCATGGATGACAACAGCCTGAATGACTCCAATGTAAAGGTCGCTGTTCGTGTGCGACCCATGAACAGGAGAGGTGAGTTTAATGTCAGAGAAACCTTGTTGTGAGTTGGGCCATGCAGCAACTCATTAAGTCTGTTTTTCACCACTGAAACAAAGGTATTTTCAGCCCACCTCGCCAAGGGGACTTACCAACTCTGCAGCACACCATATCTGTTTGGTGTTTGCTCCCTTTTTTGGGGTTTATAGGGCCATGGCTAATTTGTAGTTGTGGACAAACAATAGAGGCTTCATTCCTGTGTTTTACTGAGTGAGTTTTTTTCCCCCCGTCGGGCTCTGAAAAGGTCTATTTTGCCCCACTTTGGAAAGGTTTTGGCAGGACGACTGTGGGAGTGTAAAGGGAAAATTTTTTGAGACACGCTGACGTCACAAACCTAACAGAACATGGAGTATAATGCTCATACAGGGACATGTTTAATGCACTGTCACTGGCCTAAATACCTCTGGCAACAGCTGAGCAGGACTGAAGTGTCAGCTGACGGACTTCGGTGTTGCTGAACACTGGTAACATCCTTTACTGGCCCTTAATTCCATATAATATGCCTCCTTTCCATTTGGGTTCTTTAAAACTGCAAATATTCCTTTCAAAATTCAGTATAACGCTGAAAAAACTCATGACAAATTGTGCCTTAATTCCAGCTCTGATGGGAAGCTCCAGTGCTGCCCCTGCCTTCAAAACCTACTGTAGGTAGGAATGAGGAAGAGAAGGTGTGACCCTGATTTTCCTTACTGTTCTCTCGGGGAGTAGTAAACCGGTCATAATGTTTGCACAGGCGAGTCCTGGATGAATCATCATCAATAAAATTGTTTCCTGCCTCTCCGTGTTGGCCTGTTTGTGTTGCAATCACGAGGAGCTGGCACACATACAGTGTATGCCACCTGTTATTCTGCAGCGAGAGTTGTGTCAGTGACTACTATGGAAAGTTATGATGACTAGTGCATACATGCTGTTTAAACTATTTAAAAAGTACAAAGTGCAAAAGTGATTTTTTTTTTACTTTACATGTCACATGTTTTTTTTAGGTCCAAAAACAACTACATTACACCTAGTTCAGCTGTCGACAGTCTGTTTCTAATAGATTATCATTAAAAATATATTATTTTTCTCCCCGTCCTCTGTTTCAATTCAGAGAAAGACCTAAAAACAAAATGTGTGGTGGAGATGGAGGGAAACCAGACAGTTCTGCATCCAGCCATCACCAATGTGAACAAAGGAGACCCCCGGTAAGACACAGATACTCGCATGCTATTATCACGTTGTAATCAGTGCAGTGCAAAAGCATAACATTTTTGAAAGTTGAGTCATTTGGCAGTTTATTGTTTTTTTTCTGCTTCCACCGTCGAAGGTGCTGATCTTCATGTAGCCCTGACTGTGGGTAGCCATTTTATTTGTTCATCTTCACCTTGTTTTCTTTCTCGTGAAACATTTGAAGGCAGAGGTGTGGACACGTGAGTCACATGACTTTGACTTGAGTCAGATTGCAGTCATGAATCTGATGACTATTGACTCAATGTGACAGAATTAAAACCAAACAAACAAACTTGCAAATCAACCTGAACCCCAGTGACTTCACTTTACTTTAGAATTGCATTAATCCTGGTGAGGGGCACATGATGACTTGTTAGGAAACAAACCACAAAGTTTAGGACGTGGGACTTGACCCAGGACCTGTTGGTCTTGGTATGAAATCTGGTAGGATGGCAACAAGGAGGCACCACTGCCTGCAACCGAACCCTACCTCCGTTTTGCCCTGTTCAAGTGTGTACAAACATACAGTATTTACAGTATAGGAGTTCCATCGATTTATTTATTTGCCACAGGATTACTGCCAGAAGAGTTTGTTCAGACTGCAACCGGCCTGTTTGGTTAGTGCCCAGTTTCTTGGAAGAAGCTCAGATCTAACCCTCACCCCGCCCAAACTCCTTCTATTACTCCTTTTCCATTCTTCCTCCTCCCTCCCTGCTCTTCCTGCATCATTCCTCTCTTTACAAAGGGTGTGTCTGTTCCAGCTCAATCCTGCTCAGGTAGTCGATCAATGATTTAAAGGAACAAAGGAAAGGAGGACAGTATCAGGATCCAGGTTCAGGATTCAGAACTTGAGCGACAATATAACATTATAATATCACAGTTCACATCAGTGCAGTGCATCAAAATAGTAACAAGATGTTTTGGGTACAAAATGTGCATTCAGTGTGTTGAAATGAAAACATGCCTTTGGGCATGTGTTGCATGCCTCCTTATGTTTGCTGTTGACAAAGCAGTTCAGTCCTCCTCTCTCCTCCTGAAGCAGTCGGCCAGGCAGTGAGTCAGAGCGCTGCAGGTAGATGCTCCCTGGAGCTTTTGGCCCTGTCTCAGGTTACCTTGTTCAGTAGATATGTCTCAGGGCAATCCCCTGAAGACTTGAGAGTATGAATCCTTGTCTTTGTGGACAGAGATGGTCTCATATTTCATCATCATACTATGCATTTTTTATGTGTGAACGTATCTGTGTGTGTCTCTTCTGCCCTGACACGCTTCAGCTGCGGTATGTTTCTCCTTTGGGGCTCAATGTGAACAGGTTTTACAGGCTTAGTACAACACAGACAAGCACTTCAGTGATTCCAGAGCAGCACAGGGATCATGTTGAAGCAGAAGTGTAAGAAACAAACTGATTTTGAGCAAATATTTTAACTTTTAATTTCTCTATCAAGGCACTCTTGATTAGTCTCCCAGCAGACATCTGTGCAATCAGTGTTATAGAAAAGCTTTGTTTGTTGCGAGAGTCACTGACCAGCCAATGCTACAAGGTTTTTGCTTAGTCAGCTCACTGCCTGACAGGTTTAACTGAACTGCTGCATGAGCCTCAGGGGTTGTTAATATATTACAGCACCCTTGGTACCTGCAACCGGGAATACAGCGGGGGCTGTCAGACCCTTGAGATGGTTGAGATTTATGAAACCTTGTTGCCGCTTTCATAACTTGGGAGCCAATACCAATAGTTAGCAAACATGTACAGTAAAACTGTACTTTCATGGATCCCATTTTACTGCACGTGCTGTAAACAGACCTTGAATTGTTGCAGGAATGTTTATCAGCCCCTGCAGAATAATGTTTAGAAAATGAAGCTGAAATTGTGTGCCCCTCTTATCTGGGCCTGGCTTTGATAAGAACACCACTTTCAAGAGGTTTCTCTTTATCTGTTTGTAGCATCTTGAATGTTTGCTTGCTTCATATCCTGACTTTGAGAACTGGTATGTACAGTATCTGTAATATCCACCCAAAAGGGATGCGTATAACCAAGCCGCTCAAATCTGGGAGAGTCTAGTCTTGGAGGCCTGTGTGTTGTTGGTCACAGACTTTCTGACCTGCCTCCCTCTCCTTTAGTGACTCCTTGGAGCTGTGAGGCTCTGCCAGTTATCTCAGGAATGTCCTTGCCAGTCCAGCAGAGGACAGGACTTAATGTTGCTTTTTCATGCACCAGCCAAGTCTCACATAGGGAGGCCTTGTTTCATAACAGCCCCCCCCCATGTGTGTGGCCGTGACTAAATTTGCAGCTTTTTTAACCCCAAACAGATATTTCTGCCCGAGTTAAAACTGTGTGTCTTGAGTTACGTGTGGTAACGTGCTTCAGATGGGGCTTCCCTTGAGACTGGGTACCTATGTTTAAGGATGATTTATTTCACCCTAACAAATACAACCACAGTTGCCACAGTTTTCACACACACACCCTTTTTCGGTCGGCCGTCCCAAACGGACTTGCCAAAAAGCATTAAGTATTTTTGTAGTTATTATCTCTGTTGCAATCATGTGTAATTGTTAGTTAGCAGGTGTGGATATTTTGAGTGCAGTTTGCAACCTCACCTCCTCTGTGGGTGACGTCCACGATTAATTCTCAACCTGTGGGAAACATGGCTACAAAGGGAATTTGTAATAAGTTTTCTTTCGTGATGTAGTATTTCGAGCTGCTTTTCAGCTCCTTTCTTTGGAGCAGCCGTCTAATACTACACTGTGGTTAGATGTCCTTGTTCAAGGGCAGTGTTGCACACTGAACTAGCATCAGCCTGAATGCTTGACAGCCTCTGCATTCATTTGGTTAAAGTACGACTTTCAGCAATAGAATTAATGTAATGAGCAGAACAGGAGGGCAGTTAACTGCTAAGTGCAGATTTAAAGCTGCTACAGCTGATTTTCTAACCGCTACGAGGCGACAGAAAAAAAATGTGACACACAACATGTTACCTCTGAATTTATATGGCAAACATGTAATCAAACGGTTGCCTGTTTACACATCCAGCAGACATGGAACAACATTATCATTCACTTTGAGTCGTGTTTCTGGCGACCTGATAAATGTATGTCCAATGTTCACTCTCCGTATATCTGGCCCTTTAGCTGCTGAATTAGCTAGTTGCTAACTTTTAGCCATAGAGCCATATGATGCTCTGTATTTTTAAACCATAACAGTAAAGCTGTGTGTGGAAAACCGAAACAATGAGCTTAAAGACACTGACACGCCTCTGTAGAGCTGAGGGGAACTGCAGAGTCGGGTGATAAGTTCCTGTTCGTAACGATGAGTCGTCTCTTTTTCATACAAGTAGTCATATGAGCCATTCTTAATATAGAAATATTGATTATAGCTATTTGAAACACTTTTTAACATATTATTTTTATATAACAGAATCTTATTTTTGTGTGAATAGTTCTGGTTTGGTCCATGGTGTATAATGAATGCACAATTCATTCAGGTCATCAATCACGTATTTCATGTGTTAAACTGAACTTATGTTAGACTCTTAGACTTGCTCCAGTACGAATGCTACATGTGATGGACAACAGCATTGGGATGCAGTGGAGCACAGAACACGTTTGCTAATTAAATTTGACGTTTTCTAGCTGGAATGTGGCGATGCGTTCACTGACTGTTGCATGGGATACTGTTGTTGTCCGCTCTGGAATGAGCCTGAAACGCAGTGACTGTGATTTAAAGTGCTGTGGTAAGAATGCAGAGATTTAGGCCTGTGTGTCAGCGACACTGGGAGACTCTGAGGTTCTTAGTGCTGCTCAAGGTCACATTCCCCAGTTGATTCGCAATGAACTAAAGAGGATTAGTCACCTTGACAGATTTTTAAGCTTCACTATGATTAAGACACCTTTGATTCCTTGTCTTTGAAAAACCCCCTTCTTACTCCGCTGACTTTGACCTGGAGTTGGGTTTGACTTTTTCTTTTTCTTCCTGCACTTGTGGTGTAGCGCTGTTTTATTGTCCTGTTCTGAACTGAGCCACAGAACAACTAGTGCACATCAAGTATCTGCTTACAACAACAAGTCACAGCATTGACATGTTACTCATTCTAATGGGTCAGCCCTCATCCGGAGAGACATGCAGTATGTGAACAGGCTGGAGCAACGTCGGTGCAATGACGTTCATGTGACGGCTCAGGACTGATTTTGGCACAGACATGTAAAAAGACCCCTCACCTGTATGTAGCAGCAGCAGCAGCAGCAGCCTGTGGTCTACTGTACGCACTGGATGCTAATGGAGCTAAGAGATAAATGTATCTATTTATTTGTTTTTTAAACCATGATCCCTGAGAAGTGAATGCTGATTCACAGCCCTCATGATATGCTGCGTATGCAGTGGTTAACAGTTCAACCAGTTTCTCTCCTCCCAGTTTGCTTCATTTAATTAATTGTAAGAGGATACCTCGAGGCAGAAAACTATTATGTATTTCACAAGAAAAAAAAATTAATATAAAAGAGATTTTAAGAAGCCTTAAAAAAATAAGAACACATCTCTGTGGGTTTTTGACTTTTGTTCAGACATAACAGGACCAAGACGTCACCTTGGACTTTAGGACTTTGTAATTGACATTTGACAAGTTCCTAAACTGTTAAACAAAATAATGAATTGAGAAAATAATTGTCATTTTTACAGATAATGGAAATAATTTCTAGTACATTGCACCAGAAAGACGTAGCCTGCTTAAATTAGCTTGTGACCCCACTTTGAGAAACCAGTGTCCCACAGGTTAGAGAGGCGGTCTTGTGACTCAGAGGTCAGTGATTTAAGACTCTCCAGACCGGCTGGGAAAAAGTTGGCAGGAAAAATAAGGAAGTAAAAAAGCTCTCAATAGCTCCTACCTGGACAGCCTCCAGCTGTGAATGTGTGAAACTGAGTTAAAAAAGAAAAAAAGTGAAGTGAGAGTTTTGCTGAATCAGGACTCAGCTGACTGTATGTGAATGTTCTGCCATGTACAGAATATTGAAATGTGTTTCTGAGCTGGACCACACTGTCGGATGAATAAGTATTGTTAGTGTTACCACGTGATGAATATTTTCACATGTTCTTGTCTTGGCAAGGTCATTTTGTTTTATATATATATATATATATATATATATATATATATATATAGAGAGAGAGAGAGAGGGTGTGATACAGTAACGGTAAAAATTTAAATAGTTGTGTTCAAATAGTTTCAATTTAACACCAATTATTAACTGTGACTTTTCATTTTTCTCTCTTCTGTCCTCAGGAATCAGCCAAAGGTAAGTGTTAAATGTGATTTAATGTCCATTCTGTCTAATAATGATGTGTTTGTGGTTTTGTGTAAATGCGGACTCTTGTATCGTGTGTTTTCCTCAGGCTTTTGCGTATGACTACTGTTTCTGGTCCATGGATGAATCTCAAAAAGACAAGTTTGCAGGTTCGTACATTTCCACAGTGACACTGTGTTTTATACTCGACTTTATTTGGTGCTCTGTCTGTTTTTAGCTCGTGTAGCTTCACTGCTCAGTGAGTCATTTCTCAAACTTATCTCCTGACTGAATGTTTCCTGATATTCGGAGCTATTTATGGAGTTGAAGAAAGGGACTGTTTGGAGGGCAGGAAGAAGAGTTAAAACATGGTTTACCTTCAGATTAATTCTGTGGTCCTTTATATTGTAATGCCAGGGGGGTTTCGTAACAATGTGAGGGGGTATTAATAATTCAGCAGCCTGTGTCAGGTGTATTGAATCTGAATAAAATGCCCGCCAGGTCTATTCTGAGCTTTGAGTCTCGTCTTGTAGAGAAAGTGAGAGAACAGTAAGTCATGCAGTTATCTGTGAAGAACCCCAGAAAAGTGGTTTCTGTTTTCCATAAATCTTATTCTCTTCAGCCTCTTCTCCATTCTGCTTTGTTACTAAAGTCATGTCGTAAGTGTAGTTTATGATATCAGCTTGTGGCAGTCTGTACTTGCAGATATTAAAGTGTTTGCTTTCTGGTTTTTGTGCAGGTCAGGATGTAGTGTTCCAGTGCCTTGGGGAGAGTCTGCTGGACAACGCCTTCATGGGCTACAATGCCTGTATCTTTGCTTATGGACAGACAGGTAACATTCAAACCTGAAAACATCAGAATTAGGGGCCCTTGGTAATACTAATACAAGACTGTGTTACTGGTATAGGTATGCCAGAATATTAATATTTGATATTAATATTTAATATTGTGTAGGTGCAGAATATCAAATATTCAGTAAGGCTGTAATCACACTTCTTCCCAGTTGTTTCGTATTGTGAGCTGTAGTTCCCAAAGTAAATGAAATGTTTCTGTATATAACTTCATATTCTGAGTAATGAAACTATGCTAAAGCAGTATAGATTAAAACAGATAAATCCTACTTTAAAGGAACTATTTGTAAGTTTTACTATCGCTACATAGCTAATGTTAGCATTGACAGCTGTTAACTTAACAGAAACGTTGCGAGTTTAGCATCAAACTTGGTTCCTTTACTTACCTAGAGCTGACTCCAGAGGTGAAAAGCAACCCTGTTGTTTTGCTTCTATTTCTATCACTGATTTTCTTCTGCTGAAGTTAGCATGCTAACCAGCTAGCTAGACGAGCCAGCCGGTTTAAATCGTTACTTTCCGATACCGAGTCACTGTAGTGTCCAGTCTGCCCCCGAAGAAGTAGTTGTGCTCATAGGACGTATTATAACCCGTTGTCTTGTAAATGCATTAATGGCTGAAGCTCTTGGCAAGACTATTAAGTAAACAGCTGTTAATGCTAACGTTAGCTATGTAGCAATAGTAAAACTTACAAATAGCTCCTTTTAAAAAAGGTTATAATATTGAGTTTTTGATGAAACTACTTTAGAGCAGAATTAATTCAACTGCATGTTGGAGGTGCATGCTGTGTCATTTACATATAAATCTAATAATGAATCTAACAAAGAGGCTAATAGTACTAGTATAGTATAATAGTGATACTTTGTTGTAAGCTGACATTTGCCTCTGAGACGTCTGCTGACTTTCTCACAGTAAACATTGTGATAAATAACATTAATACTGGCTGCATTCCATTTAGCTGAGCCAGCTGCAGGGCTCTAGTGTTGTGCCCATTGGCATGGCTTACTGGAACATTATGTATTCAGTGGGAAAGGTCTGTGAATTCACAAGCTTTTAAATCCTGACAGAACATTCGTTAGTGCTTGATTGAAGGCAGGTGCACTGAAAAGGTCAACAAGGTTTGGTGACCTTTTAATCTGATTCAAGATGTAAACCACTTCCAGTGTGCACAAAAAGTCCAAACCTTTTCAGTTTAGTTACACCTACTTCCTGTGTCCTAATTTTGGGGGTATTTACAATGAATTCACAATCACATAGCTTGAAGTTAAACCTGCAGCGTAGGTTGTCGTTGCCCAAATACAAGTGAATCAAATCTTGCAAACAAAAGCTTCGAAGAATGTGACAGTGCCCGTAACTTTAATGTACTCTCACTGATTTGTCATAGGTAGAAAAGCACAGGTTTTACTTTTATAATGGCTCTGTTCCATTCAAGTGTCCCAGTGAACGTGCACGCAAAATATCAGGACCCTAAATCTGAAGCAGAAAAATGGAATCCAGCCATTGTTTCTTTTATCAATCACACATCTGACCTTGTCAAAATGTCGTCTGTGAAAGGAGCCTGTGTAATTTAATAAGACTTGTAGAAATAACTATAAGCGACACCTCTGACTCATGTTTACGCTCGGTTAATTTAGTTAAACTTTCAACTGTGAGTGTAACCCCTGGCAACATCTGTATCTATGTAAACATACATGTTGGGATTCTGGCCTGACTTTGCTTTGGGTCATCTTTACACTACAATCAACCACGCTGTCATTCACCTGAGGGAGACTGGAGATCTCTCACACTTTCACTCTCACACTCCCCCCCCCCCCCCCCCCCCCCCCCACTTAAAACCTGTGCCTCAACAGGCCATTTAATTAGCTTTTAATTTAAGGGTGTCTCATTTAACGCCACTAACTCATCTGAATATTTGACTCTCAGACACTTATTTTTCCATCTTATTTTGGAGTGTTGATTTATTCTTCATGAATTTGCATGAAAGATGAAGCGGTGTTGTGGTGCATCTGTTTATTTATAGTCATGCATATTGTTTTTTTTTCCCTAGAATCATTAGCAGCACTCTCCAGGTCTATATTAAATAATAATTTGGCCTTTTTTTTTATCTCTCTCTTTCTTCCATACAAACAATCCATGTTCATTCTACTATTTCCTTAGGCACCATATCTCTCCACTATGAGTTTCATTTTAAATCCTGTAAACAGTGTCAGCATGTCTCCAATAAACCTAAAAAAAACAGACATTTAGGATTTAAACTTTCCCTGGTGTAATTATGGCTCGATATTTGGAGGGATATACAGTGTCTGTGTTGTCTCCAGGCTCTGGGAAGTCGTACACCATGATGGGCTCGGCAGAGCAGCCTGGCCTGATCCCCCGGCTCTGCAGCTCCCTGTTCGGCCGAACTGTGCAGGAGGCCCGTGAGGGAGAAAGCTTCACTGTGGAGGTCTCCTACATGGAGATTTACAACGAGAAAGTCAGAGACCTGCTCGACCCCAAAGGGTGAGGAACTTTTTTTTTTTTTTGTCCAGTTGACGTTAAAACAGGGCGTCGCTTATATATTTCATTTGCCCGGACCCTGCTGTGGCTCTGTTTTGATATCGGCAGCTTTAGTCCGTTTATAAACCCACTTCTCAAACAGAGATGGTAGAACTCCTTGTCAGCATTTTCATTCAGTGTCAGAGAATATAATGAGCTGCTCTTACACGAATAAGTGCAAACTGTAAAGTATATATTTCAGTTGAGAGTTCTTCATTCATTTTTGTGGATGATGAGATTACAGTACATCCGTCTCCTGGCTGCAGAGACTTTTCCTCTTTATATTAGATGGCTTTAAATCTTCTGAAAACTTGCTGTGTTATTTGATTTGCTTATTGAGGAAGGGAGGAACATCGTTTAATTTCGAAGCAGAATAGGACTGAAAAATGAAGTAACTGTCTTCTCTCAGTAGAAGTCGACAGGCGCTGAGAGTGAGAGAGCACAAGGTTTTGGGGCCTTACGTGGACGGCCTGTCCCGCCTGGCTGTGGCCAGCTACAAGGTACTGTGATGTTTTCTAGCAAAACACTTTATGAACTTTATCTTATTTCTGTTCAGTTTTCTTTTGCTTTCATTTCATTGGGCCGCCAACAGAGGAGAAGTGATTTCATAAGGATGGATACAGAATAGTGTGTTTGTTTGTGTTGCCTCTGTCTCCGACAGGACATCGAATCTCTCATGTCAGAGGGAAATAAATCTCGCACAGTGGCGGCGACGAACATGAACGAGGAGAGCAGCAGGTCACATGCTGTGTTCAACATCATCCTCACACACACACTCATGGACCTACAGTCCGGGGTAAGACGCACGCACAACGCGCTCATGCACACAAGCAGTCATCAAATGTCGACACCAAACAGGATCATAGCGATCCTTTATACTCATAATATTTTTACTAATATAAGAATAATATTGGCATTATAGCAAGGATCAAAAAACACTGAAAAACACTCCAAAAATGCATAAAAGAAAAATGGGAAATAGAACTCACTGTTCTCTAAACATGTAAAGGATCAACAGTTAAACAGATTTCTCACATATTTTTCGGAAAAAGTTTTAATTGTGTTTTGGGAAATGGTCTGTGGTAAGTGTTCCCACAAATACTTGGATATAAAGTCCCTCGGGCTTGTACAGTTCTTTATCTGTAATAGTATTAGTGTAATAGGAAGCAACAGATAATTGGTTTAAATACAATTAAGTATCAAGTTAAAAAGATATTACAAGGAATTGATAGAAAATAACTCTGATACTGACAAAGAACCCATAACTAGTGATTGTTGGGAAAAAAAATCTTAGTTTCACAACATATGAATATCTTGAGAAGAAGAAGCACAACTGAAAGAAACATGGACAACAGCAATGTCATAACAGAGCTACAGGAGTAAAGACTTTACATAAAAGGTCTACCAACCATTAGTTTGATTAAAATGATGATACATGTCCATCACAGTTTCCCAGACTCCAAGTTGACATGTTCAAATAGTTTTTTTCAGACCTAAAACCCTCAGATATTTAATTTACGCTGTTATAAAACAGTAAAAAAGCAAGGCTCACATTTGAGAAGCTGAAAACAAAATCATGTTTGTTTGTTTGCTTGATGGATGCCTGGATGATTCAGCAACTAAATCTTGCAGCTTTATTTTTGTTGTTGTCTCCATTTACGCTCAAGTGGATGTTATGATGTTGTGGCTTCTAAGTCATTTAGTTTTATTAAGTCGACCTTCCACAGCAGTGCTCCTTAAATGCAAAGGTGGAGTGCTAATGGATCATCTCTGAATAATCAGAATTGTGTGTCTGTGTCTGTGTGTGTCTGTCTGTCTGTGTGTGTGTGTGTGTGTGTGTGTGTGTGTGTGTGTGTGTGTTTGCTTCAGACGAGTGGAGAGAAAGTGAGTAAGCTGAGTCTGGTGGACCTGGCCGGCAGCGAGCGAGCGGCGAAGACCGGAGCAGCAGGCGAGAGACTGAAAGAGGGGAGCAACATCAATAAGTAAGTCAACAGAAAATAAACAAACGCCACAACTGTGACGACTTATAACCCTGAATGTTCCAGCTTTTACTTTCTGGGCGTAAATGAAGCTGCTGGAGAGTTTTCACAGTTGTATTAAAGGTCACATATTATATAGAGCAAGATTTCCAGATGTCTTTTTTGATTATAAAGCAGGTCCAGTGATCAGATCTCAAATGAAAACAGTCAGTCAATCAAAGAGAGGCTGTTGTCACCTGTCCTCACCTGTCCTCCCCTCTCTCCAGGTCTCTCAGTACTCTGGGTTTAGTTATCTCGGCCTTGGCTGACCATGGAGCAGGGAAGAACAAGAGCAAGTTTGTTCCCTACAGAGACTCTGTGCTCACCTGGCTGCTCAAGGTAAGGAAAAATAACCCTCTGTTAATACAGCTTCCACCACGGGAGAATGCTTTCTGCAGCTCTTCTGTTTTAATCATTACCTTCACCATATCTCCTAAAATATTTTAGGGAATTAAAGCTCCTTTTTGTCAGATTACAGCAGCCGTCTCCTGCACTTCATGCCCATTTTAATACACAAGAGGGTGGCAGTATAATGTGAATTTTTTAAATCTAAAGAACTGGACTTTGAATAATTCATTATCTGCTGTGCGTTTTGTTAATTTGCCCATTAAGTTTCAAGGCTCTGCTGGTTATTTTCATTAGCTCTGCTCAGTCGGAAAAAGGCTCCTTTTGCCAGCTATAAGTCTGTAATTTGGGGTTTTTAAATGAGACTTTAATTTGGCTCCAGATAGCGTGATAATAGTGTTAAATGTTGCCTTCTAAAAACTCTGATATCCCCCAAACTCATAAGTCATACGCCTTCCACATATTTAGTGATTCTTTCTCTGATTCAAACCAGTGGATTTTCTTTATTTCAGTGAAAACAGTCTGAAGGTTTGAGTTTGTCACTGAGGTTAAATCTGTGTTTACACCCGCAGGACAGCCTGGGAGGGAACAGCCGCACAGCCATGGTCGCCACCATCAGCCCAGCGGCGGACAATTACGACGAGACACTGTCCACGCTGCGTTACGCCGACAGGGCGAAGAGCATCATCAACCACGCCGTGGTCAACGAAGACCCCAACGCCAGGATCATCCGGGAGCTGCGGGAGGAAGTGGAGAAACTGAGGGACCAGCTCACAGAGGCCGAGGTTCAGATCACTGTAGCTCGGTTCCGCCTGTACAAGTATTGTGTATGTTGTGAGTCACACAGTTACATGAGTGGAGAATGATACAGTTCCTGTGGCTCTCAGTCTATGAAGGCCCCCGAGCTGAAGGAGCGGCTGGAGGAATCGGAGAAACTGATCCAGGAGATGACAGTGACCTGGGAGGAGAAGCTCAGGAAGACTGAGGCTGTTGCACAGGTAAAACACACACACACACACACACACACACACACACTCAAAATGTGAGACGTAGCCAGTTCATTTCTGCGCCGGCGTCCGTCAGAGCAGGAGGCGTAATGTTTTCAGGTTGTCCGTTCGTCCCTTCCATTCTCGTGGACACGACGTCTCAGTAACGCCTTGAAGGAACTTCTTCAAATTTGGCAGATGTGTACACTTGGACTCACGGTCACGGTGACCTCAGAAAACACTTTTTAGCCATTACACGTCACACAAATGGTTAATATTTTATATGATTCTGGTTAAACAGGGGTGCAACCTGAAACTAGGCTGAGCACCACCGGTTGGTAATTCTAGTTTATTTAGTGCTGAGATGTTCGATTTTTCTTTCACATTAACAAAAATGCTAATGTCACAGGAAATCATACACATTCAAATTGAATATTCAGTCGTTAAATATTGAATTTCCCCGAGGAGGTGAATAAACTATCTATCTATCTAAAAAGATTGATAAAGTGAAGGATAAAGAGCAGCTGTATTTATCTGAGCCCGACTCTTTAAGAGAGACAAGGTCCGACATTTGACAACAGGTTCTTTAAAAACTTGACTGTATAATTACAAAGTACTACATACAGCAACATATGCAGGAGATTTTTTTTTTTTTAATTGACTTTAAATTCCTCCATTCACCCCTCAGAACCGGGGCTCAGGGTGGGGGGGCGGCCATCTGCCTCGACCGGTGGTTTTCCAAATGTCTGCTGTGAAAAAGGTCGGGTTGCTCTCGGTGGGCGAGGGAGGGGAAGTCAGCTCAGAAGCCAGTGTTGGATGAGGGCCCCTTCTATCTCTGTGGTTTCTTCAGCCCCAGAAAGTGGCGGGTTTTCTTCCAGACTGAAGCCTGTGATTGCCTACGGAGGATCCCCTCAGATACATCGGCCTCCGTGTGTCGGCCTTCCTGGGTGTCCTCGCTCTGAAGGCTGGTGATGATCTCTCGGGGAGGCTGGTTGTTGTCCTTGGGCTGTGTGGAGAGCTTGCGGTTGAGTGCGAGCTGAGCGTTGAACAGAGTTGTCAGCTGCTCCACCTTTCTCCGCAGAGACGTTTCTTTCTCAGCAGCGTTTCGCAGGATGAGGCTGATCTCTTCCGCCATCTTTTGTTGCAGGGCGTGCTGCTTAGCCCTCAGGTGTTGCTCCAGGAGCAGGTCATCTGACACCCTGTCAGCGTGAGCTTTGATTTCAGTCTGAAGCTCACGCTGAAGGTTCTCAGCCTGGTGTCTGACTGCGAGGACGTCAGCTTCGTACCTGTTGGTGACGTCTTGGTATGAAGCGGTCAGTCTCTGCAGTTCTTCGTGGAGAGCCTTGTTTTTGTCCTTCTCCGCCATGAACTTCTCCTGGCTGATGACATGGGCAACCTGCAGCTCCTCGTAATTTTTTTGCAGGAGTTTCTTCTTTTTTTGCCTGATGACATTTCGCACCTGAGTGGCGATCTGCATTTTCTGCATCGGTGTATTTTTGGAGCCTCTGCAGCTGTCTTCTGGTCTCCTTCTCCCGGTTGATATACATCTCCTTCATGGATTTCTGTCTGGTCAGCTGCTGTTTGGTCTGATCAAGCTCTTGGGAAAGTTGGATTCTCCAGTTTTGTTCGTTTATGCAGGTGGCTTTCTCTTTAGCCAGCAGGTCATTAAGCTTCCTAATTTCTTGATGGAGCTCTTGGACCTCCATCCAGTGGTCTTGATTTCTCCGCGTGACCTTTCTCGCGGTCCTCCTGTTCGGGCGATCGAAGGTTCTGGATGATGCTGTAAATTCTTTTTGTCTCGAAACGTCTGGAGTGATGTGGCGGTGTGAAGAGCTGCTGCCTTTGTTCCTGCAGAGACCTGGTGATGTCACAATACACACAGAATGGAATATTTCCCTTGATCTTTGACTTTGATTTGGAGCGTTCTCTTTCTTCTTCTACTCTTTTTTTTTTTTTTCCTGCGTGTTTACATTCAAAATCACAATAAGTGATTCAGATGTACGAGCATTCATTTGGACTCAAGGATGAGCTGATTAGATTTTGATGGTCAAAGGTCAAAGGTCAATGTCACTGTGTTCACACAAAACAACTTTTAGCCATAACTGGAACTAGTCTGAGTGGCGAGGCGGTGGTTCTAGTTTCTCTTCAGCTGTAATTCAGTTCAATCACAGGTTTTTGTTTTTATTCAGTTTGGAGGGTTTTTTTTTTTTGTTTTTTTTTTACAGCCCGTGTTTCTTTCATCAGCCACAGAAGAGAATAATAAGCTCACGTGTTAAACACAGGATGTGTGTTTCCTGTAGGAGCGTCAGAGGCAACTGGAGAGCCTGGGAATTTCTCTGCAGTCCTCTGGTATCAGAGTGGTGGACGACAAGTGTTTCCTCGTCAACCTCAACGCTGACCCCGCTCTCAACGAGCTGCTGGTCTACTACCTGAAGGTACTACACACACACACACACACACACACACACACACACACACACTGCTCTTTACTGTATATGTAGAGGCTGACTGACGTCCACAGATACATACATACGCTGTCCTCTCAGTGGCCGTCTCCGCTCTGTGTCTCGTGTCCAGGAGCACACGCGTGTGGGCTCAGCCAACTCACAGGACATCCAGTTGTGTGGGATGGCCATCCAAACTGAGCACTGCGTCATCGACATCACTGAAAGCAATGGTGTGGTGCTCACGCCTCACCGCAACGCTCGGTATGTAGTCGACCCGTGGGGTCACGACCTTGCTGTGCACCTTTTTTTTATTTTTGCTTTTTCATAGTTTTAAACAGATTTAAACTTTTACATGTTCCAGCTGAGAAATGGTGAAAATACTTAAAGAGCGGCTCTGGATAGTCTCAAAAACTTTAGAAGAGTTAATTAAAGAATAAATATAATATGAAAGGAGGACACCTGTAGTGACCAACACACACTTCACATGCTTTTCCCCACCAGACCGTTTATCTGTCAGGACTTAGATAACAGATATTCTTCAGCTGAGATACAGAGTCACAGAGTTTTACATCAGTTTTTATATTAATGCTGATAAGATACCTGAGTTTCAGTACAGATACATAAAGGATATTTACTTTGAGGAATAATGTCATTGAAAGAATCCAAAAGCACAAAGAAAAAAAGGCCAAAGTTCTCAAACATCAAATGTAAAATATGAAATTAAAAGCCTCAACAGAATATCTTTCTAAAATCGTCAAAATTATTCTTTAAACCAAAAACCATGTCATTTAAGAATAAGTTAAAAAGACCAAAAATCTGACCAATCCGACCGTCCGCTGTCACATTTCAGTGAGAACAGTTTAAATGAGCACCACAAATAAGATTCATAGTTCAGTGGTGACACACACAGACCTGTCGCTGCTTTTTATTCAGTACAGGCAGGATGGGAAAAAATGATGTATGTTCATATTCAATAGGGGAATTACAATAGGAGTGTCGGGATATACAGATTTAAAAAATTAAATATTGATATTGTGTTAATACACACGTGGTAATATGGTGATGGCAGATGTGCATCTCTGATCTGTATGTATGTGTAATTGTTCTTTAATACAGTTACAGTTACAGACTCTCTTCACCTCTCTACACTCGCATTTGACTTTAAACACATAAAAAACAAAGTTGAAGATTAAATTCACTGATAACATTATTATTATTATTTATTTATTTATTTATTTAATTTTTTTTATTGATGTTTATTTTTCTTCAAATCTCATATAGATGGTGCGATAATATCGTTACTGTAAATTCTTTTTGCCGAGATAATCGTATGTATAAAGCCTATAGTATATGTTGCTGTCATGTGAAATAATGTGTCTCATGTTGTGTACTTCCTGTTGTGTCACCCGTGTAGAACATGTGTGAATGGAGCTGCGGTCACCAGTCCAGTGCAGCTTCATCACGGTGACAGAATTCTCTGGGGTAACAACCACTTCTTCAGGTGTGTTTCACCTGCCCGAGCGTTGACTTTGACTTTGCGTGGTGTTTTATTTCCCACACTCACTTGTCTTGTTGGAACTTATTTACATGTGGAAACAAACTCTTCATTGTGTCTCTTCCTTTTTTTCTTTTTTTTTTTTTTTTCACTGTACGGCTCTTCCTCTTTTTTTTTTTTTTTTCTCGCTCACTCTTCCTCACATACATCGTCCCACAAACCACCACCTACTCATGCACGCGCACAGGATCAACTTGCCCAGGCATATGGTCCACGCAGGGGGTGAGGAAGAGGAGGGCGGTGCCGTGATGAAGACGTGTCTGAGCACCGACCGGCTGGAGCCGGAATTCGACACATCCAGCGACGTGTCGAGCGAGCTGAGCTTCAGTTACGAGCTGGCCCAGGCCGAGGTCATGATGAAAGGCATGGGCAGCAACGGTGAGTCAGACTGGACGGTGAGGCAGGTGGAGCCCAGTGAGAAACAGCTTGTTTTTATTGTGTTGCAGTAAAATACGAGCTGACATGTTTCAGCAAAGGAGCTTCCTCAGAGCGCGTCTTCAGGTTGACAGTTGTGGTTAATAAAATGACATGGCGTCACAAATTACATGCATTATTCAGCATTTTTACGATTGGAGATTAAGAGTTGTTACAAGCTATAAAAAGGTGTTCACAGAGAAGACCCTTCTTATTCTTCTTTATTCAATTTAAATCTATTTTGGTCTATGCACGTATTACCTAGTCCTTTGTACCATTTTAAACTCTGTTCACAGTCCAGACCACAAGATGGCATAAATGCTAAATACTGTAAATGTTTAGATTTGGTTTGCATGTTCTAAAAATAGTTTGAGATGTGGATGGAGATCTGTAAACAGAGTGTGAATCCTCCTGAAGAGATGCACAAAACCAACAATGTGTTAGTCTCTCAATACTTTATGACCCTATGTCCCTATCCTGTCTGCGTCTCTCAGCCTCAAGGCCATTCATGAAGACTGAGTCACAAATATATATAATAACCATGCTAGCAGCTCTGTGATGCTTTCAGCTGAATGCTATCATGAATAAATGTAAATACTCACACTGGCTATGCTAACATGCTAATGTATAGCAGGTATGATACTGACCATGTTCACCAGACATGTTAGCATGTGTGTTTGTGTCAGCACTTCCTCATTGAAATGACATCACAATAAACAACAGGGCCTGTGTTCATAATAATGAATGAACATGTCACCCTATGCTCCCTGTGTGAGGCTCACTCATGTGTTTTAAATAGTTTTTGGACGACAGTGGAGCTGTATGGCACAGATGACTAAGATATAATTTACGTCTGATACACAGACAGTACTTATTAATAGGATTCATTCATTCGTTCATTTTGTGAATCGAAGAAAAATGGAGAATAGCTTTATCCTTTAGTTTAACCAGGCCATGTCCATCAACTTTCTCCAAACAGCTTGAGTAGCATAATCCAAATATTTAGAGCCCGGATGATTCCAGTGTGGGGTCCACATGTTCAATATTTGGCCTGTAATCCTCTCTATCTTCCACAATGTTCTGGTTTGAGTAAAGAGTTCAGTGCTTTATCAGAGGACAGCGTTTGCCAAATTGGAGATAATGAGGTAAATATTGGACTTTTGGATCCACAGTCGGTGCAGTCCTGTGAAGCGGCTCCAGTTAATTTTTGGGGGGTGACTAAACAATGATAGAATTTTTATTTTAGGATGATCAGCGCGTTCAGATTTCACATGCTTCTCAGTGAAGCTTTCAAACACATGAGTTGTTCTACCCGCCCCTAGACATAAATGTATAAAAGCCGGGTCGTGCTGTTGAACTATAGACGCTAATATTTCATTTGATAAGAATAGAAAAACTTCTTCACACTCATTCTTCGTCTCTCCATCCATCCATTCATCCATCACCTGGCGGTTCCTCCTCCTCCTCCTCCTCCTCAGACCCCTTACAGTCAGTGTTACAGACCCTGGAGAGGCAGCACGAGGAGGAGAAGCGCTGCGCCCTGGAGCGGCAGAGGCAGATGTATGAGCAGGAGTTGCAGCAGCTCCGCCAGAAACTCACCCCCGAGAAACCCTCCCACCTCCTGGATGCATCAGGTCTCCCGGTCGGTGCCTCTGCTGCTGCTGCTGCTGTAACGTCGCACGGCTTCCACAAGCGCATGCGGCGGTGGAGTGAGGACAGGTGAGACAGGACAGCGTGACGCGTTTTTACTGACTCCTGTTGAGCGGTGTGTTCTTCAGACAGACAATCCAGATACTGTGTACAACTTGCCTGGTTGTGTTTGTTTTTGCGGTGCAGGGAGGCGATGATGACTCGCAGCCTGCGGCGTCTGAGGGAGCAGATAGTTCGAGCCAACCTGCTGGCTCAGGAGGCCGGATTCATCGCAGAGGAGCTCAACAAGAGAACAGAGTACCTGGTCACTCTTCAGATACCTGCCAGCAACCTGGACGCCAACAGGAAGGTAGAGGGTGATCGTCTGGCACACAGGAGATGATGACGATGATAATGACGATGTGTCTGAGGCCAACATGAATGTACCGACGCATTTTTCTCTCTCATCGATAGCGTGATGTGGTGCTGAGCGAGCCGGCCATCCAGGTCCGTCGTAAAGGTAAAGGGAAGCAGATCTGGGCTCTGGAGAAGATGGAGAACAGGCTGGTGGACATGAGGGAGCTCTACCAGGAGTGGAAGGACTTTGATGAAGACAACCCAGTGAGTGAAGCGTGATGGGAACCTGCTGGACACGCAGACACCAGATTAATTAGTTACATATCATTAATCTGCAGAGACCTGACTGTTTTTCACCTCAGCAGGTAAACAGAGGTGTCAGTTGATGTCCGTCAGACTTTATCTGCTGGTTTCCCTCAGTGCCATTTCGCATTCCTTAATTGATTAAATGTTAAATAGCAAAATAGGAAAAAAAAACATGCAGGTAAAACAACCTAAACCCAGATTGTTAAAGAAAAATAATCTAAAAATCAAGATTTTTCTAGCTCGGCTCCATTCAGAGGAGCCTGAAGTGACGTTCATCCATCATCCTCACAGCTCCTCGTTTTCCCTGATCCAGGTGATGCGGTCTTATTTCAAACGAGCGGACCCGTTCTTCGATGAGCAGGAGAACCACAGTCTGATCGGAGTGGCCAACGTTTTCCTGGCCTGCCTGTTCTACGACGTCAAGCTGCAGTACGCGGTGCCCATCATCAACCAGAAGGGAGAGGTAGGAGCGCAGCGTGTGCAGTGGATAGGCTGCTGTTAGTTCATACATTCTGTAAAGTCGTAACGCTGCTTGTAGCCTGTTATGTTTGTTCATTTGCTTAAATACACCTGTTCTTTTAAATCCTGTTGGGCTGCAGATGACAATTTATTTTTTATTGACCAATATATGAATTGCTCGGATAATAAATGAATCTATTTAAAGCTGCACTAGTCGTTATTTTCACACAGTTCCCCTCAGCTCGACTGAGTGTTTTAGTATCTTTGAGCTCATTGTTTTGGTTTTATAGCTCTCAGTTTTATTGTTTTAGTTTAGTGTCAGCGCTCCCATCAGCCTCCCATCAGCCTCAGGCAGCTGTTTTCAGTGAAAATGCTGTAATAAACCTAGTGTGCACCAACTGCCCTGTCCCAAACGGCACGAAGTTATCATTAAGCATCTGGAGCATCCAGCATCTTAGCCACATATTTCCCTCAGGAGTTCATCAGAACTAAGTTAGAAGGAGAGGGAATATTGAACTTCTTTAAAGTGGCCAGTAACACGACTCCAAATGGATGCTAATGCTGCCCCGTGTCTGCGGGTGGCAACTGTTCTCACAGCGAGTTCTGCTCATCACCAGAGAAGGTCACAAAACGTCTGTTGTGTTTGCAGGTTGTTTCTGCTGCAGCCAGTGTGATTAAAAAAAATGAGTTAATGCAAGTTTAAAGACAGAAATTTAGAAAATAAAACAGCTAGAAATGGACCAAACATCTGTGAATGTAGGTTTAAGTTTACAAAATGTGAGAAGTTATGACAAATGGCCAAAGAGCCCCAAGTGATGTTTTAAAATTACTTATAAAAGAGGAGAAAAACAATCCAATATCTACATATTGTAAAGCTGTAATCAGCAAATGCATGTAATATTTTGAACTCAGTGACTAAGAAATTGGACACAAAACTAAACTGAAGAAAAGATGGAAAGAAAGAAAGACATGCTGGCTTCCTGCCAAAGTGACTCCGTGTGTGTGTGTGTGTGCGTGTGTGTGTGTGTGTGTGTGTGTGTGTGTGTGTGTCAGGTGGCAGGTCGGCTGCACGTGGAGGTGTGGCGGGGCACAGAGGGCTCCGAGGAGGGGGGTCCGGGACGGTCTGACTCTCAGCTGAGCAACACAGACGCGGATCCACAGGAACGTAAACTGGACTGTGTGGTGAGTACATGAGGAGAACATGCACACGTCAGATTATCATATCATTTAGGTGGAAATGAGTCGGAAGCCCCCACCTGATAATCTGAATCATATATTCCCTCTCACTGACCCAGAAATCTTGATCTTACATTCAGTAGCTGTTCAGTGTAAGTGAGTGTGACTTCAGCTGAAGGTTTTGCCGGTGGGAAAATAGCGTCAGATTAATAATGGATCTGGCAGACAGTCGGACTTTCTCCAGCTCACTGAAATGTTGCAGGTTTAATTAACTCTGGGTCAACTTTATACCATGGTTACCTTTTGCTTCTGTTTTCTTATGATGAAATGACATAAAAAACAAAGTCACGAGGTCTTTGCTACGAATTCTTACATATTGACCGAAGGCACTTTTAAAAGGTATTACATGAGAGAGCCAAACAAAAGGGTTTTCACACACTCCTGCCAATACACTTCTTCAGATGAAAATAAACGATTCTGTTTTATTTCTGAGTGTGTTTCCTCCTCTTCTCTCCCCCAGGTGAAAATCCTCCAGGCCACCGGTCTTCCTCGCCACCTGTCCAACTTCGTCTTCTGCCAGTACCACTTCTGGGGGCAGGAGGAGCCCGTGTTCATCCCTCCAGAGGTGGTGCCCTCCAGCTCATCGTCCGCCTCCAGAGACCCTCAGTGCACTGTGGTGTTCGACAGCGCCAAGGTAAACACTCTGCATGGTAAAGAGCAAAGAAGGGAAACGATAAAACGGCAGATGTCAGTAAGAGAAGACATAAATCCCTGTCTCTGCAGGAGTTGTCTGTGCCAGTGTCAGATGACTTTGTGGAGTATTTGGCCGAGGGCGCCGTGGCCATTGAAGTGTACGGCCACAAACAGGCCAACCACCGCAGAAACCTGGCGCTGTGGGACCTCGGAGTAATTCAGGCCAAGACCAGGTCCCTCAGAGAGAGGTAGAGTATCACAAACACTCATCAAAATTCCTCCTGAAGCAGCTCATACACACACACACACACACACACACATACACTCATCACCTGGACAAGTATTCAGGTCCTGTAACTGTACCTGAAGGACAGATTTATACACAAGGACAGTGCACAGTGCAAATACAGCATGGATGTTTGTGATGCATGGCTACGATGATGACAGAATGTTTCATCCCGGCTAAAACCTTGAATGTAAATAAACTAAGTTTTAGTGAGGTTGTCCTTTTGTTGTTGCTCTGTGTTTTTACTCCAAACACTTTCCTGAGCTGCTACAAAACGAGGCCTTGTTATCATAAACCTTTATCTTGTATAGAAACTGGAGGCGCTGTATCCATTATCTACTAAATTGCATAGTTTTTTCTTTATGTCAGTTACTATGTAAAAAATATTCGTACTGTTTGTTTTGTACCAACATGAATGACGGCGACTGAAAGCGATTTCGCAGCGCTGCTACACAAAAGAGAGTCAAAAATAAACCTCACTGTTTAAATCCATGACTGACAAAGTTCTTTTCTCACCGTAAAGTTTGGCTTCTTATTTTACTTGCTCTTAACAGTTGAATTTTTTTGGTCATCTTAATAAGCCTTTGTGAGACGGCGCCTGTAGAGATCACAGGGAATGAGAAGCGGAGAGATGAAACAAAGGTCTCCAGCTGGATCGGCATCGGCGACGCCGCCGTTCGCGGTCGGCGTCTTAATCCCTGAACCACAGGGGGCCCCAGTTAATCTTACTTCAGATTTTGATCATGTCACTTATTATCTCTCAACATGGTGATGCCTGAGTGTTAACATGCAGTAACGCATCAGAGCAAATGGCCAACTGGAAACACGTGAGTGGTAAAAGTGTCTTGCTCACAAAAAACACCAGCGCCTAGAAAACTGAATAATACAATATGCATCATAACATAAATAATGAAGGTTTTCTGCTCAGGTGTTGTGTTTTTCTTGGCTGTTCCTGCAGGTGGAGTGAGGTGACCCGTCGACTGGAGGTGTGGGTGCAGCTGATGGAGCTGAACGAAGCCGGAGAGTTCACAGCTGTGGAAGTTCTTCCTGCCAAAGACATCCGCACCGGAGGAATCTTCCAGCTCAGACAAGTACCGCGGATCTTTGTTTGTCTCAACGCTATTCATGGTTCATTAGTTTGAACAGAAACTGTGACGTTAGTTTCTGTTGTTATTCTGACTGAACAGGAGAATGAATATCAACTGATGTGAATCTTTGCCTGCAGGGTCAGTCGCGTCGGGTGCAGGTGGAGGTGCGCTCGGTGCCTGACTCGGGCACCATGCCCCTCATCACCGCCTCCATCCTCTCTGTGTCCATCGGAGACGTCAAGGTCCGACAGATGCGTCTCTCCAGAAGCAGCGAATCACAATGGGTGAGGACGGGAAAAAGAAAATCTGTTAGTCTGTTATATTGTTATTAGAAAGAAATTTGTCATAGGTAGCTCTTCTTGACTTTGTTTCTCTCTCAATTTAAATTTCAGGGTGGGGATGAAGAAATGGACAGCTATCAGGTCAGTACACGACCAGTTAAAAAAAGCATAATGACTCATAGTTTGATTATAAAGTGGCTGAACTCTGGAAGTGTTTCTATTGTGCGAACAGTAAAATCAAAACTTCTAGGTCTGTACGTCTGATGTGTGTGTGTGTGTGTGTGTGTGTGTGTAGGAGGTAGACCTGGAGAGGATGAGGGAGCAGTGGCTGCTCACACTCACTCAGAGGCAGGAATATTTGGACCAGCAGCTGCAAAAGATCGTTTCCAAACCAGGTAAAACTGAAAAACAACATTCGGCCGTAAAAAAAATGAGCATTTGTGAAAACAACTGTGACACGGAAAACAAAAATGATTGTTGGCACACATTTCCAGTCATGTATTTTCTAGTCGGTCTCCTTCCTCCCGTTGCTCAGTATAATTCAGCTTAACCGAGACTTAATTTTTACCTTCTCACGTGTATTTGCCAGTGTGTGATTACAAGTGCTGCTTTGATTGATTCCTTTGTCATAACCAGCCGACGGTGATACGCAGCTCGAATCAGCGTCGATATAAGAAGTTAGTAATTATTTACAGCTCAGCAGTTACACTTCTCTCACTTAACTTATATGTATGTGATGTATGTGAGAGTAGGTAGTTACAGGAGCCAGTATTTACTGTATGGCAGGTCTAATCTGTGTCAGTTGAGGGTCGTAGATGTGAATAAGTTTGCTGTATGGAACAAGGCTGAGGAGGGGGATGTGGTTGAATCAATATCACAACATTAATAAGAATATTTTTCTGTCGTTGATGCAGTGGGATGCACCAAGCTCAAAATCAGAAATAAAATAATCAATAATGATGTCAGTGTAATGATATAATCTGATATAACACGTTACATCAGATTAAACTTTTCACACGTCAAAAACAAATCTGAATGAATGATGTCGTCATCTTGTTTGTTTCCAGTTACATTTTGTGTGAAACCATTAATTTGAACAAAACTTTGCGACATCATCACAATTCAATTTCAATGAATGTCAAGAAATTATAATAAATATGGGTTTGATGATGGTTTGGCGGAGGCGTGCAACCGCGAGGCGATAACTCCCGCTGTCTCCTCCCCGCTCTTCCTACGCTGTAGATAAGTCGGAGGACGATGTTGAACGGGAGTCCCAGCTGCTCGAGTGTCGTCTGACTCTCACAGAAGAACGAAACGCTGTTCTGGTGCCGTCAGCTGGCAGCGGCATCCCTGGAGCACCAGCAGAGAGGTGTGTGTGTGTGTGTGTGTGTGTGTGTGATTATTCTGATTATTAGTTATTAACTTTTATTCTCCAGGAACATCCAAGGTAAAAAAACTAAACAAAAAACACTACAGCTGATGATTCAGAAACTTTAACTTGTCTGTTAACAGAGTCTACACACTGCAGCTACATAAACACCACATTTATACCTCCACCCTGCTGAGCCTCACACTCTGCTCTCTTATATAACTGCTCAAATTACAGCTAAATGCTTGACAGCCAATTATTAGTTGAAAGTCAAGTTTAGACAAAACCTTGACAACATTTTACTCTCTAACATTTTATCTAATGTCCCCACAGTCCTCTAATCAGCAGAGCCACTTAGCTGGATATTAAATACTTGCCGTGGCTGGAGGACAGCTGTTTTCTAACTGTGCCACTCAGGATAAGCCGAGGGAGCTGTCAGCCTCTCTGCTTCACAGACCGGGTGTATAGTCCATGTAATGATGGTGCTGTTTCTCCACAGGGTTCCTGTCCCTGGAATGGAGACGCACATTCCTGTCCTCTTCCTGGATCTCAGTGGTATGTTGTTCTCACTGTCTTTTGTCGTCCCGATTCCTAATTTTGAGCTAATGAACTCACTCGCCTTCTGTCTCTGTTTTCCCTCCAGCTGATGATTTCCAGTCCAGTCTCTCGGCCACGTTGGCTGGAGGGCTGGACGCGTTACTCAGTGGGGAGGATGACGACGAATTCTTTGACCTTCATATTGTTAAACACTTCGATCCCGAGGTAAAGAGAGTGTGTAGTCATAATCTTTCATCTCTGAGAGGAATGAGACGCAGATAGTTGTTGTACTGGAAACAGGATGGGGGGGGGGGGGGATTCTTCAGCCATTCATTTCCATGCTCTCTAATGTGGTCCAGGTGAAGGTGGAGGCGTCCTGGGACTCAACGGTCCACGAGTGCCCCCATCTGAGTCGTGTGGCATCGGCGGACCAGAGGGTTTACCTGACGATCCGCGTGGTGGTTCAGCTGAGCCACCCGGCCCACATGCAGCTGGTCCTCAGGAAACGCATCTGCGTCAACGTCACCGGGAAACAGGTGGGTGACACCCCCCCCCCCCCCCCCCCCCCCCCCCCCCCCCCCCCCCCCCCCCCGAGGCATGATGGTGATGGGTAGGAGCGAACGACACGACGCCGTGTTTGCTTTCTCCCATTCATAAGCAGATTAGTGAGATGTTGTTGTGGGTTTGTGCGGCAGGTTTCGCCCAGAGTCTGCTGAAGAGGATGTCTCAGCGCAGCACCATCCCCGGCTGTGGGTCACATTCGAAATCGTCTCCAACATCCCAGGGGTAAGAACCAGACCACAAAGTCCACATTACATTTGTTTGTTTTTTTATTGGACAAATTAATGAAGTCAGTAACTGTACGTAAAATAGACACTTGGATGCAAAACAGGACACACTACAACTCGGCTGATTGGTTAACAAATTGTCTTGTCATGTAAAGTTGTTATTCTCATGTCAGAATGTCATGAGAATAAAATGGTTGCCTAGAAAATGAATCTATAAATCATCAGTTTTCCCTACATTAAGAATATACAGCAAACCCACTCTTTTTCCCCTATTCATTAAGCCCATTCAACAGTGTTGTGCTGAGGCATTAAGTCACTGGTTGATGATCATACTGTAGGTGACGTCCATCTTTGCTTGTCCCAGGTGAAAGATGATGAATATCAAGATGTTAATAAGGTGCCACACGGAGACTGGCTTTAAACAAGTTTCCGTTTCTACAAAATTGTACAAAATGAACTGCAACATGTTTGTTTTTAATCTGACATCATAAATTTAAAGGTCCCATATTGTAGAAGGTGAGATTTCCATGTGTTGTTTGATTATAGATCAGGTCTAGGTTCTATATTAATACAGTGAAAGTATCAAAGCCTCAGTCCACAGAGAAATGCACACAGCCTGTATTCAGAAACTGAGCCTTAAAACCAGCCGTCAGGACTTCTGTAACTTTGTGATGTCACAACAAAGCAGTCACCGCTCTCAGCCACCTTCCTCGCTGACCTGTTGTTACCAGAGCTGCAGAGAGAAGCCTGAGGGAGGAGAAGTAAAACCTGGTTTTTGGTTCTTAAAACCACAAATGAATCTTCTCATGGGTCAACACTTGAAATAAAACACTGTGAAGTGTAAAATATGGAGCTTTTGATGTATTGTTTTTGTAGAAATAACAGAAATATAAACCTCAACTTCAACCACAGATTGTATTTTTGTGCAGCTGGGATTTTCCTTCTTTGTTACACACAATTGTTGGATAATTAACTCTGATGTGTCACATCCTCAGGTCTTTGTTTTCTAAATAAGAGACTGGAGCTTTATCCTCTGCTGTCAGAAGTCTGCTGGTTAGAGGCTGGATCTCAGTTCACTGTAGTGCTTTATTTTGCTATAATTACATTTCCACTGCAGTGATTTCATGAGAGTGGTTTGTGATAAAACCTTAACTGTACTTGAGGATTTTCCCAGGGAAGCTAAATATTTAGGTAGGTGGTCATGTGAGAAACGGGATAATGTAAAAGTCATTATCATAAATAAAAACCAGTCGAGAGTTGGCACTGAGCAGATTAGTACCCAGGCCGTTACAGTCTGTATCCCTGCTCTCACAGGACATCCATGGTCCAGAGGACAGGGAGATGCTGGCCAGGCTGGCTGCCAGCGCTGAGGACGACCAGTCAGCTGACAGTGAGGCGGCCATAGAGAAATACCTCCGCAGCGTCCTGGCTGTGGAGAACATCCTCACACTGGACCGGCTCAGACAGGTCGGGAAATCATTTTGTATTGTCATTGTCATTTAGCTCATGCAGATGACCTACTGGTCTGACAAGTCACTTAATAATCTGTGTTCCCTTGATTGATGTTTCTCTGACGCATGAGCACATTAAATCCTCATTGTCTTTTCCACAATTTGCTGCAGTTTGGTAAATGTCATCCAGAACCAGAACCGAGACATTTTCCTTCCATCCTGCCAAATGTAGAGATAATTAATCCACATAATATAAAGCATCCAAATAAAAAAAACTAAGTGACAAGTCTGTCCATAAATCACACAGTTGAAAATCTTCGTGTGTGTGTGTGTGTGTGTGTGTGTGTGTGTGTGTGTGTGTGTGTGTGTGTGTGTGTGTGTGTGTGTGTGTGTGTGTGTGTGTGTGTGTGTGTGTGTGTGTGTGTGTGTGTGTGTTGTGTGTGTGTGTGTGTGTGTGTGTGTGTGTGTGTGTGTAGGAGGTGGCTGTGAGGGAACAGCTGGCAGTCAGAGGGAAACCTCCCAGACGCTGCCTGAGCTCTCCAAACATCAACCGGGTAAGTTTGATTTCTCCTCTAACGATCCCGCTCCGAACACTAAAGGGTTAGTTCAGGTTTGTTTTCGCGTCAGGTGGTGGCGATCTATTCACAGGTGGTGACATTGATGGGACATTAATGCACTTGGCAGATTCTCCGAACAGAGAGATTTCCAAATGAGCTGGCGTGTGGTCAGACAGAATCCAAAAACGGCAGATGGGTTCAGTTAACTGAGACACAACAGGATGTAAAATGTTTAGGATATTGCCAGTGTCCTTTCAGATCTCTCTGTATCACGGAGCTGCTTTGTCTTTTAATAATAACTCCTAGAGATGCTAGAAGGGCGGAGCTGGTAGCTGAGCTGCTGTCCGCCCGTCCAGTGTTGAAGTCTGTTTCCCCTTCAAATAGATTTTCTTGTGCTGTTGTCCTGCAGGTGTAGTGTCAGGGCGAAGGTGAGGTTGTGTTTCCCGCCTCACAGAGATAACTGCTGTGGGTGGGGGTTAGGTCGGCCGGAGGTTAAGCACTTAAGAAGAAAACTACAGGTAGGAGTAAGAGGAAACGCAAAGTGACGGGGAAACAGACTTTAACACAACACCAGTCTCTTTCCTCTACTGCTAACCACAATGTGCAGTAACTCACCTGTGGTTTGTTTGTGTTCTGGGGCTCAGGTATTGTTGTTGACTTGCTGGTAACCTGTCTCACTAACTCCATGGCTCTAACCCTCTAACCAGCTGTCAGCCAGCAGCCTGGATCTCTACTCCTCCTCTCATCACCTCAGTGACTTCAATGTGAGTCGTGTTTACTAACCTCCTCCATTAATATCTGTTTATTTATCATTTCTTATAGTCTCACACTGGAATTTTTTCTGTTTATGCCATTTCTTTTTACTCATTAGCAAGACTACACCAATAATACGAAAATATGACTCCTGTTTAAATCATACAGGTCAGTGTAGCTCAACAGCTTAACTGGCTTATAGTAACAGCACAAATATAAACAGTATTTGGAGACTAGTGCAGATGAAAAGCAGAAATGCTGAAAATGAAATAAAAATAATAAAATAAAGGCAAGAAAACAAGAATATAATAAAATAAATAATTAGATAAATACTAGATAATGGCCTTAAAACATTAGCAAGCAAGCAAGAAACATGCAGCCTACTACAAAAATGTATTTTATGACCATTTTGTGCGTTTGCTTTTATTGTGAAATCCTGAAGAATTTTACCTTTCCATAAGGAGCGTGGTTGATAAAGTTAGTTAAAATGAATTGGTAACGGATTGAAATATAAAAGTAAAAGTAGGCAGTAAGTGATTGTAATCGATAAATGGTTAAAATAACTTAAGATAATGGATAAAAGGTTGAAATCGATGGATACCCAGTTTAAATATTTGACTCAAAGTAGAAGCGAAACAGCAAAAAACTTAAAAGTAGTGTGTAAATGGTTGAAATAGCTAAATAAATGGATAAATAGTTGAAGTAGCTGCTGTAGAGGATGTCGGTCTGTTGCAGTTCCTGCTGCGACCAATAGAGGCTGCTAAAGGTCACAAACTACTGAAATTGCCCTTTCAACCACATATGCGTGTCATCCTCTGTGTCTTTGCCTCCTCTGTGTGTGTGTGTGTGTGTGTGTGTGCAGGGCTGGCAGAGCCACCAGGACCTTTCTGTGGCGCCTCCTCCATCCAGACGCACGCTGCCCAGTTCCATGTCCCAGAGCCTGAACCCAGAAACAGGTACGACCGATAAAACCTTTATCTTCTAATGGACTCTTTCTCTGGCTTTGAATCATCTTCCCCCTTTTTTTTTGGCTGCCTTTGATGTCATTAGCTCTATTTTTGATGCTTCAGCCCGAGGCCAACTATATCTGTCCTTTTGCTCTGGATCTTAATTTGGCACTTGTTTTCCTCTTCGCTAACACTTTTCTCAATCTTTCTCCCTCCTGCCTCAAAAACTTCCATCTTTTTCTGCTTTCCTTCCTCCTCTTCTTCTCCTCTTTACTCCGTCCTCACTATCCGTACATTCAGGCTTTGCTGCATCTTATCTCCCTCCAGTGAAGGCCGTACCCAAGCTGCTGAAGTCACTGCTTCCTGGTGGGAAGGAAGACGGCAGAGAGCAGACAGCTGTCCATCAGCAGGTACACTCACCATGCTTTTGGATTTATTCTTGTACGCTGCTCGCTCGTCTTATCTGGGATTTTAGGTTTATATGCATCACTGCAGCCTGAATCTAAATATCCCAAGTCAAGTCCTATTTCTTCCGTTGCCATGGAAACAGAGACTACGTAGATGTGAACACATAATAAACAGATAAAGTGTGTAAATGCCTCAGTGCCCAAGATAAGTGGCTTTCAGAAGTTTGCACAAATAGAGACGATAAACTTGGTCATAAACAAGGAGGACAGACAGTGTGCGTTTGTGTCGACCTCATGTCGTGTGTTTGAGGTTTGAGGCAGCACTCAAGAAAATATCCAGACACACTTTACATACTTTAATGTGTCGTAGATTTAATTGTAAATGGATAAAATTGCCATTTTGCCTGATCAAACTACATGTTTGGCCCCTAATTACCAATAAACTGAAATCTCCTATTTACAAAAGCATTCAGATCTTTAATTCAGTACTTTGTAGACGCCCCCTCTGGTAGCAATTACAGCTTTGAGTCTCTACAAGCATCGCACACCTGGTTTTGAGCAGATGTTCTGTGGGGTTAAGTCTGGGCTTTAGCCGGACCACTCAAGGACAGTCGAGACACTTGTTGAAAGTTGAACCATCGCCTCAGTCTCAGGATCTCGTGCACTCTGGACCTCTCTGCATTCGGCTTCATTCATCGTCCCCTCAGTTCGGAAACAGTCTCTCTGTCCCTGCACCTGAGAAAAGCCATGACGATGCCACCGCCTTGCTTCGCTGTAGGGATGTTATTATCCAGGTGCTGAGCAGCGCCTGTTGCTTTGCCACACATAATGTTTGGATTCATCAGACCAGAGAATCTTTTTCCTCTTTCTCCAAACTCTTGAGTGGACTGTCATATGCATTTCACTCAAAGAGTCTAGATTTATGGGCCAAAATGGTAATTTTATCCGTTTTAAAGTCAAATCTACAACACAATAAACAACACAAAAAGTGAAGAGGTCTGAATACTGTCTGAAGTGAAGTGTATTTACCAAACATCTGTCCTTCATCTAAGTGGAGTTTGAAGTTGTTTCTAGTCAGTTAAGCAAACAGCACTAAAAATACAAAACATTACCGTCATCTACACATTTACAACTGAAAGTCTGTGTTTAAAACTGGAGCTATAGAGTTGGAAAGTTGGAAGAGATGATAAAGATTCCCATTTTTATGACTTACTTTAACGTCACTAAACGGCTCAAGACTGTTGTATGATTTCAGAGAGATCGCTGCATTCATTTCGTCTCTCTCTTGCATCCACGAGCTTACTGCTAGAATCCTTCAAGGCCTCGTTTTGTTGAGTCCCTTTTTTTCAAACACCTGAACTCGACGTTGCAGTGAGTTAATCAATGAATGAAGTATTCCTGCAGAGTCTCGTCTCGTCTACAAACAGAGTCCATCAGCATGAAAAGGCTGCGGCCAACTACCTCCTTTTTATTTCACTGAGAACATACTGTAAGTTTCACTGCAGCATTGTTAGTAACGATGTTAATGAATAACAGTCACTGTGGTGTTTTGGCAGTGTCTGTTTTTCACAGAAAACAGTTTAAATGTTACAGTAATGAGCTTAAACCTGTCAAGTCTTCCAGGCTTTGTGTTAACAATAAAATGACCTGTTATTCTGAGTCCTGATATTATATGAATCAAAACCAGGTTAGCTGAGCACTCGGGTTAAAAATGATATTATCAGCGACTACAGTACAATTGTAGTCTGTGTCTTCTGAGTGATGGACCTGCTGTATGATGTTTGTGATCAGAGCAGACGCTCTACAAACATCCCCCGCTGAGTCAGGAGCACACTGTGTGTAGAGGAGGGTTAATTAGGAGCAGGTGAACCTCGCCGTCCTGACGTGTGTCGCCCCCGCTCCTTCACCACCTCCTCATCCACTGATCTCCAATCATGCGCCATCGAGACTCGGGAGTCTGCAGCTTTTTCGCTGCAGCCAAACACCGCAGCGTCTGATTTGACTGATTAGCACCTTGAGCTGTGTAAAGAAGCTAATTAGGGAAATCATGTGCCATGGTGTTTGGTTGGAATGAAAACCCGTCGGGCCTTGTTGGTGCATTGTTTGAGGTCATTGCCCTAATTAGTGCTCTTTCCACCGCGCCTGCCACAGATGTTTACAAAGGTCATTACACAAACAAAATCCTCCATTATTGCATTATTGTGGAGGAGAGATTGATGAAAAACCATCAGTACAGTGGCTAGGTTTATTTTATAAATCCCACTTAACAAGTTCTTAACATGTCTGGTGACATGAGTGAACTGCAGCTTAAATGTGCCAGACTGTATTAAGGCTGGATACCACTCTGTATTAACTGCTGCCGTGTAAAAACCCAATGACTGATCGGAGCGTTACAGGAAACAGTGAACAAATCTCTTCGACAGCAGACTAAGGCCGCGGTCGAAAAGCCTTATTTCCTTAGGAGGGTTCCTAACTGAGTACGAGATGACCCGGATGTATCCACGCTGCAGCCGTGATAAGAGCTGGTCCACTTCTCTAAGTGATAAGGAAAAGAGCTTCAGTGCTTCCTATCTTATCTCCTTTACCATAGGAAACACTTGACCTTCCTTTACTTAAGGAACCGCGAAAATGGTGTCCCACAATTCCTAATTAGTTACTAGATTATTAAAAATGAATTTCCTCTACTTAACAAATAGATAGAAAAAGGTCAAAACTCTAATATATAGAAGAATATATATATATATATATATATATATATATAGAATATAATTAAATCTGGTCCTTACTGCTCCTCACTCAACTCTTTCTACTTGTATATTTCTTTCTTTATCTTATTTCAACATATCAGTTGTGTTTGTTTTGTGTTTGTGGGTAGGAAAGGAGTATTTATCGTCCATGTGTTATTAATAAAGCTAGAGATTATTTTGAGTTTTCCTTGGAGCAGCCTCCGAGTCAAGACAGAAATGAGGACTTGAGACACGACTTATTTAATTTGACTTGGGACATTTAAGTGTCAAGTTCTGAATTCTTTCTGAAACATATTGAGTGTTTAATTATGGCTAACGCTCAGCTAACACTCTTACAGGACAAAGCTTGTGTTATTCTGTAACCAAAACCAACACTATTTTATTTTCTCAGCACTCTCTGACTTCCCCTCTCTGTCTGGTGCTCAGCCTCAAGCCCATTCATTCCTGCTGAAGACATAAATCTTAAAAAAAAAAAAAAAGGTCATAAATATATTGTTTAATGTTTTTAGCGAATGTTACTCAAGCAGGAATAAAAGGCTCATTTACTGGGGACTGTTTTCAGCTGCAGTGTAACGTACATTTGGTGCTCTACTGAGTATTTTCTGGCACCAGGATTGTGCATGTAGTGGAACACAGCGCCCATGTTTATGGTTAATGAAGGAACATGTCACGCAGTGCAAAAGCCTGGCTCAGTGATGTGTTTTTAATTATTCATGCGTTGGCTAGTTTTTTTTTTTTTTTTTTTTGTGATCCTACAGTGAAAACAAATCTGTATCTCCCCATATCAAAATAGATTTGGAGGAGTCAGACTTCCTGGTGCCTCTAACGTGTTGTGTTGACCCTTTACAGGTTCACTGTCCTGAGCCAGAGAGAGTTAGGATAGATGTGTTTGACCTGCTCTCTGACGGCAGACCCGCGCTCCATGTACGTCGTCGTTCTGCTCAGGGCTGAAATCCAACATGACCCGAATCAAACCGCTTTATTCTGATGAGCGGAGTCTGGAGAATTAAGTGTTATTTCCCTCGGAGCGTGATGTCAGGGATGCATGAGAGACAAACAATGATCCTGATTAATATTCCACGACTGTGTCTGTTAAGCACACAGTTGAACAATTGTCTTAATTTATTGAATATCTTAAGATATAAGATGTTTGTTTTTTTTCTATTACCCTCTTCAAAAACAAAGAATGCTTAAGAAAGCAAATCACACAACATTCAATCAGCTGACAGATCATATTGAGTGTTAAAGAGGTAATTTGAATACTGAATAGGGATAAATGATAATGGCTGCAATTATAATTATGGTGCAATTATCCTGATTGTTTTACCAGTTTATCATGATTATCTGTCTGAGTGATTTGATGAACAAATATTTTTATTACACTTTCTGACTGCTGATTACTAACATAAATGAAATGTTGTTTTTTTTTTTCCTTTTTAATACATTATTATACCAAACTGATTATTCGCAATTATAGAACATGTCTGTGCAGTAATAATATACTGAAATAAATGGCCAGTTGGCATAGTTAAGTTATTTTAGTTTAGTATTCTTCAAGGCTGCAAGAGGGAGCAGTACAGAATGATGTTCAGCCTACAGTATCTGTCTTCCCGTTAGAGTCATAGATTAAGTTCTTCTCCCCACTGGCTCTATTTCTGTTTTACTGTCACACTGAAGCCTAAGATTTATAATTCCCTCACAGTAGCTAATCATCACCTCACACACACTGTGTAATGACCAGGTTTGGAAACCTGCAGGCTTATACTAACATCTAATCTTCTGGTTGAAACGCACTGACGTGACACGGACTCGCTTGTGATTGCATCTTGAAATCTCCTTGACAACCTCTGAGTGCGAACACAACAGATTGTTTTATGTGAAATGACGTTAACTTCTTTTGAATTGCCTCCCTGTCGCAGAGCTTGCCTCGCATCATGGTGCAGTCGGCCAGTGTTGAAGAGGGCATGAGCCAACATCAGCAGCCAGTAAGTTCTCCAATCACAGACAGTGTAACACGCATCTATATCTACCTGGAATACATGGGTGGAAAGTAGTTTTTGGAATATGGTTTGCTCTTCTTTATCTGACATTTGTGGGTGAGGCCACATCCTGCTCCCTCTCAACATTGGTCTTAAATGTAAAAATGTGTTTTTTCCCAGAAGGAGCTACTGCATTCATATAATCGTGGCTTAACTTGGGGAAAACCTCCACATGCAATTACAAACACTTTCCTATTCTGTTCTGTTATTCATGGTGCAAAGACTGAGACTGTTTCAGCCTGGTAACTTATTCTACATACAGCTAAAGAACTGTGATAATTTCAATTGGCTTCTTGTTAGGGTTTCTTATTAAGAGGCAGGGGTTCTCGCTGGGGAAATTATTTTCGTACTTTTTGTTATTGTGTAACATTATGTTGTCTTCACAGGTTTGTAGAAATTACTTTAAAGCTTCTCAATCACTATTTTTTTATATTGATAAAGGTTCAAAAGACCATGTGAAATGTGATGTGGTTATGACCCCACAAAGAATTATCACCAAACTGTTCTCTTACCACAACCTGGCAACCTACAACCTAAATTATCCCGTATTTTCAAACCTAAATGTTGACGGGTATGCCAAAACATTTGCCAGGTGGGCAGAGACAAGCCCCAAATTAATGCTAACAACAAACAATAAAAGATAGGCTCGAGTCTATTGCAATGTTGCTGTTGAAAGAAAGACTTTGGAAAGAGTCAACATTTCAGACAGGAATTCAGCCTTTTGCTGTATTTTGGGTCACTAGCACTGTTGCCATGGTCCTCCCACAGGTCCCCTTTGAGGATATCCAAACAGAGATCCGCAGATCCATGCCACTCCCACCGCCAATCATCCCGGAAATGGAAGAATCCACCCCCAGCCCGGTGAGCGAAGCATCTAGCGGATACATATCGACCAGCATATCCACAGCAACACTGTCAGATGTCTACACATTGAGCTGGGACCTGCCTCAGTCATCCGCCTTTGAGATGGTGCCCGATGAAGAGGAAGAGGACTATAAAGTGGCACAATCTTACAATTACCCTGAATCTTTTCTTGCGCACCAATCCGAGCCTCAGGAGCCATTGCAGGTTGTGAACGGCAAAGCAGCTGCAGAGAGCACTGAGTTGCCACCGTCAAAACCATATAATACTCCATCAGATTTAAATCTGAGTCAAGAAGAACCAAATCAATCTCCATCAGCCCAGTTGAAGGATCAAGGGGAGTCTGATTCAGTTGCAGAATCAGACTTACCAGGGCAGAAACAAAAGCAAGACTCCTCAATTGACCAGATTGGATTAGACCAGTCAGACCCACTGAAAGATTCAGTGGTTGTACAGGAGAATGAAACAGAACCGGCAGAATTACCACAAACAGACCACTCCAAATCAGAGACCCCTATGACAGAAGAACTGGAGCTAGCTCCCACAGACAGGACAGAAGCTGAAAGGTCACTCCTTGACGAAACACAACCTTCTGCACAAGAAGGTCAAAGTCAACTGGAATCGATGGAACCACAGCCCAAACAAGACACGGCAACTTTTGACAGTGCTCAGGATCCAAACCTGATTCAATCTTTGTCTGAGGACAAACCTGCTCCAGAACCACCTGGAGACTTGGATCTTCAAGATTCATCAAAGGATCAATCAACTTGTGAGGCCTCCACCCTGACCTCATCCTCAGCAACAGATAAGGTCCAACAGGAATCGCCTGCCGATGCATCTACGAAAGCTCCCGCAGCTCCGACTCCTGTGTCCAGCATTCAGCCTTCCAAACCGGCTGCCTCAGCGGCCAACCCCTTCAAGATCCAGAAAGTAAAATCTTCAGACCTCAAGTCCTTTCATCCCATTCTAGGTGAGGAGGAGGCCGGGCATGTGGACTGGACCAGCAGCCTGGGATCAGGACTCAACCTCTCTGTGCCACTGGAAAGTCTGGAAATCATCTCTGACTCTGAGGAAGGAGATGCAGCTGCTACTACTGTTCTTCCTGACTGGTTGAAAGAAGGGGAGTTCGTAACTGTGGGAACCAATAAGAGTGGTACTGTGCGATATGTGGGACCCACAGATTTTGCAAAGGGCACCTGGGTGGGAGTGGAACTGGAGGTACCAGCAGGTGAGTAGAACAAACCTGTCAATAATTTTACCTCATTCTTTATGAACATTTTATGTTGTTCAATCGCTAGTCTAAAAATCTGACGAGCCTTTCTTGATCTTTCTCTAGGAAAGAATGATGGCTCGGTCGGCGGTAAGCACTATTTCCACTGTAACCCTGGGTATGGGGTGCTGGTAAGGCCCAACAGAGTGACCCGCGGTGGTGCCAAACGCCGTCGCCAGCAGCAACAGCAAAAACGCCGTAGTGCCAACCTTTCTGGGTCCAGCCCGAACCTGGCAGCCCTTACCGCTCTGGCCAAAGGTGAGGCCGGCGGGGCATCAGCCAGTCGCAGCAGAGGAGAGAACCGCAAGTCCTGGAACACTTGAGAGGCTCAGTATCTGCTAAACGGTAGATACCCACTCTGCCTTCAACCAGCAGCTGGTTGATGCGATTATCGGGTAAGTTTTCAGAGAGAGTAAGACATCAGTGTTTAATATGGGCAGATTTACAACAGACTTCACTGTATCTGGTCCTTTACTACTATAAGTTTTGGCAATACAAGATGAGTCACCTCAAGCTCCTCCATTGGGACTGGGAACCCATCAGATGTTTATCGTCTGTTAAGGAATTGTATAAGTATTACTATTACTTCATAGAAATATTGAATGTCTCATCAGAAAATGTGAAGGTTTTTAGGTATCTACATGGTAATGTCTTGTAATTAATTTCATTTTAAACGGTGGATGTGTTGTTTTAGAGTGTATTTATTCCAGTGGCATTAGATAACAATCAAAGAACTGCCTCAAAATCAGCACATTTTTCTTTTCTTTTAACGTGTTATGCTACTTGCCAGGCAAAAGTATACTTGCTTGGGGGTAAAATATTAAAAAATATCAAATTCACTGGATTACACTGGATGACTCCAAAGGCTGCAAAACACCTTCATGTGCTCATATTTCTACTGCAAGGATACTATGCAGCTGTATGTTTGGATAGACTTCTAAGTCTCATAACTTGCTTCATACCTGTTTTTAAATTGTTTCTTGTGCCTTAAAATACAATGACTACTACTCAGCAAATGTGCCTTAGTGATACTTCACCAAATTCTGTTTTGTTGGTAGGTTGAAAACTGGTCACTAACTGTTTAAGAAGCTTATTTTAGCTCTTGATTGTGTATTTGTCCTGTTTTACCAACTTGCAGTCTTTGCTCACAAAATCTACTGAAAGTTTGCTGCATTTCTTTTTTTTTTAAATCAGTGTACGACCAAGTGAGTGTGTGTGAAGATTGATTGGGAGTGACTTCATTTTAAAAAATTTGTTTTGCTAGCGAGTTAATGAATTATGTGTTTGGGAGCCTTGTGATTTGTACATAAGGATATTTGAGGGATTTTGTTTGTCGTATTGCATTTAGTATTAATTTGTCAGGTAAATAAGATATTTTATACATATGCATTCACGTTGATCATTTTGACCAATTGAATGCTTATTTATTTAAAGATGACGACAAGATATTGTTGGAAATGAAAAGCAAAATTTTTTTTTTTTTTTAAATCAATGTTGAATAAATTTCACTCTGCTCATGTCATTCAATGTGTGATGTGATATTTGCATAGAAATTGAATATTTGTAACCAACAAGATAGTAAATGCAGAGAAAATCTCATTGATATAGCTTTATTCTCTTGTACATTATATATATCATACTAAAATAAACACAAGTTAAAAAAATGAACAAAGAAACTGTACAAAAAAATGTATATATACTACATCTTAATTACAGAACAGTCTACTGTCCAAAAAAGGCACTAAATTCTGAAATGGGCAATACAGTAATTTTGAACATAACTAGATTGGAGATTGATACAACAGCATTCAGTCCTCTTTTTCAGAGCTATATTGTGATGAAGTGGATGGTGTTTCACTGGGGACACAAAAGGACATGTAGACATGTTGACCCTGACACACCACAAGAGGACACCCCTTTTAGAGTAAGCACCACCACTGGAGTATGCACAACATCGGGTGGGGAAAGCCAGTTTGTTTTTTTTATTTTAAAGATTAATCTGTTTCCATTTTTCTCCTGGAAAAGCACAGAATCTTTACTTCTTGAGCACCTGAGGGTTCTTTCTTCCATCCCATAAACATTTCTGTCAAGGTTGAACTCTCACATAAAATACTGCTGGATTAGAACTTGTACTTGCTAACTGGGCCGTGGCATCTCTCAAAACACGAAGGCAATTCATTTTAAAAGTGAGAGAAAAATCTTTAAATGCACTCTTTGTAGTCTTTTCCTTCCACGCACGACTTGTTTCACTATTTCTAAACATACAATATTATTTGTATGTCGGAGAGATTGTCACACCAAACTCCATAGGAAAAACCCTTTCAGGAGAAAATAGTGTTTCATCAACATACACTCTTAGTACTTGGCAGGTGAGTAGTGTGATTAAATTCTCAAAGGAATAGTTAAAGTTTTGATTTTGGTGTCGGAAGCCAAACCTATGGTAAGTTTAACAGTTCCAGATATGGAACACGTTTCATCAAACTGCGAAACCCAAACGCAATTTTATTGCGTTTCCGATTACTTCAATAGTATTACAATGGAACTCTGCATTGTATTTTATACAAAGCTGCATAGAGTCAATATCTAGGAATAAATACTCTGATTTGAGTATTTTATCAATTATGCACCTGTGTTTGCAAAAGGGAAGTCAATGTTAAAATGCTAGATTTCCCTATGAAGTTTGGTGTGACATTTTGTGGAGAGAACAGCACATAGTGGGGCTTTGATTTAGTATGATATGGTGTCTGATGCAGCTGTACTGAAATGTTTTTTCACACCAGCCCCTTTATCTTATATTGGACGTTTGTCTTTTCAAAGGAAGGCTTGGGGAGGGAAGGTTACATTTCAAGCTTAGTCAACAGCAATAATTAATTTTCATAAGGTGCATAATTTTCGTCTTTCACAAAATAGCTTACTAGCTCAGACACAAACGGGGAGACTGTTGCTCAGTCAAATAAAGGATGACAAAAAAGAAAATAAAAACGGTTTAAATGATAATAGAAAAATAAGTCAGCAGAAATTAAAAGGCATGAATAACAATAAAAGCACGTTTCATTTCAAAACATAAGTCATTCTTTTTTTTTTTTACATTACCATAAAAAATGAGTATAAATACATATTGTTTTTATCTTTCAACCCTTTCTTTTTGAAACGCAGGTCCCAGTACTGAGTAACTGTATCACGGCTTCACACATCCGGAAGCGGTAGAATTAAATAGAGTTTTACTAGACTAGAGCCCAGGGCTGGAAGCTATTCTACTAGCAGGATCCAGATACCAGGTTGTTTGACACTAGAGTCTAAGACAAATTAAAACATGAGGACTTGCATGAGGTTCACTTCTCAGAGTTCCTGGGTAACTGCTTTTTTTAAATCCTGCTTTGTAGAATATTTTCCCAGTTCTCCAAAATCATCACTAAGGCAGGGGTTCCTTTTAAAGAAATAATCTGACATGTAGGGAAATATGCTTATTTGCTTTATTTTTTGGCCAAATTTTTGTTGAAAAGATTAATGCCACTCTCGAGTTAGTACGGTATATGTGAAGCTAAAGCCCAGAGACTCTTAGCTTAGTGTAGCAGGAAGATTGGAAGCTAGCTAGTCTCTCTCGAAAGCTAAAAAAAGAGAAAACCCACCTACTGCCACCTCTACAGCTCATTAATTATCACTGTATATGAAAAAGTGAATTGTAAAAATAAACAAATTGTGGTTTTTCAGGGATTAAGTTAAATGTTAAGCTAGAGCCAGGAGATAGCATAGTTTAGCATAAAGACTGGAAGGAGGAGAAAACACCTAGCCTCCCTCTGTCCAAAGGTTATATCTGCTTACTAGTACTTAAAAAGTTTACTAATTGTATAGTATAAAAAGGGCACAGGAAGTTACTGTGCATGACCACAATTTTTTTTTAGTATGTAAAACCACAAATAAATTTTATTCATTTTTAAACTGACATTTGTACTGTTTTAATAAAACAAAATACAACATGTTAATTAGTCAGCTACAGAATATCTTTTAACCTTTGGACAGATCCAGGCTAGCTGTTTCCACCTGCTTACAGTCTTTGCGCTAAGCTAACGGTCTCCTGGCTCTAGCTTCAAATTTAGCGTACACAGTGGCCTCAATCCTCGTATCTAACTCTTGACAAAAAAAAAGTGAATAAGCGTATTTCCCAAAATATTCAAACTATTTTTTTTTTTCTTCCTCACCCTAAAATAAAATTTGAAGACATCAGTCTTGGACTAAAAAAGCGCTAATACTTGACATATAGTGAGCCCCTGATAACAAGGCTTACACTTTTAAAGAACACATCATTTAATCTCTGTTTATGACTTTACAATGACCTTCAGTCAAAGATAGTTTTGGAAAATTTCCACCCAGGGCACAAAAAAAACAAACAAAAAAAAAATAGTGGATAATCATTTCCCATATCACCACTTTAAGTGTCTTTGATTCTGATTCCCTTCAAAGTGGTGCTTTGACCACTGAGGCTTTACAGGTGTAATAAAAACAGAGAACGCCTCAGAAGTTATTCTGATATACTCTAAACAATTTCCAGTGTGGATTTAGTCTAATTTGATACCACTGATATTAAAAAAATCTTCTGAAAGCACATTCTTTAGGCTATTATAAAGAGGCAGCGTCACAGAACAAGTAGTAAATAGCTTAGGGGTATTTTATCATTATGTCTGACTGCTAATACCTATCTTCACCGACACAGGCCTGCTGTAGTGTCAAGCCCACATACGACGCCACACCGGCTTGAGAGGCATTCACTGAACATGAGAAAACAACTACACACGCCAAAGGAGTTAGTAGAAATCGCTTTGGATGAATGTGAACACCATTTTCAGATCAGTCTTAGCTTAGCCTCTTAGCCTTTTCGCTCCAAGCATCTTTTCCTTTGGCATGGATGACAACAAAGCACAATTCCCCTTATTAGATAGCTTAAGTTTGCTTGATTATCACATTGACCCTAAACTGATTCTCATAGCCTCGAGTACTTAACAATAGCGTCACCGGGAAGCTAAATACCAAGGCAAAATGATTGTATATCCAGTCGCCATTTTGGGCTAAAAACATAGAGCGAAATGCGTTAAGTAAAATCACTGCTGCTGTTGGATATAAACCTTAAAATATATCAGTTTTTTTTATGTGTACTAAAAAGTTTATTGTTTCCTTGTGAGGAAATAAACTTTAAAAACCTGCTGTATACGGGAAAAAGTAAAGGTGGCTGTCTGTAGGAAATTAAGGCTACGTCTTTTCAGAGGTTTTCATCCAACAGCAGCGCTACTGTAGGAAAACAAAAGGCCATTCCACTGAGGGAATGTTATCTATAGAGGGTGAAGACAGTGACTGGACAGTTCTGTCTGCCGATATGATCCTTTCTGACAGCCTCGGTGCCAGAGAGGGAGAGAAGGAAACTCTCTCCATCCATCTTTCCCAAGACGATGGCTGGAGGCTGCTCTTTCCATGAATTGCACAATGAAGGAGGTGAATTTTGAGGGGTAGGTAGGTAGGTAGGTAGGTAGGTAGGTAGGTACCACACCATGAGGTGAGTGTGACTGAGAACCATAAGAACCATATATATATATATTATATATACAGTACACGTTATTTTTCTGAGGTTGACGTTGAGGTGAGATAGACTGAGGATCGGCTCAGACAACCAGGCTGGAGAGGGAAGGGAGAGGGGGAGTTAGGAAGAGGAGAGGAGAGAGAAGAGGTATCCTGTGAGGAGAGAACATACTGAGGGAAGAGAGGGGGGAGTTCCCGGGAGACACAATCCCAGACAAGAGCCACCATTTTAGGGGGTTAAAGGCCTGGATTTCCCCCCTTTTCTTCTCTCCATGGAACATTTTCACAGAGATCAGAGGACATTTAGTGACCCATTTCTGCAAGCTGTGTCAATATATTGGGTAGGTGGGGGTGGTGGGTAATTACTGTTTACATGGACTTTATGGGGGGAGGGAAGCCGAGAGAGAAGGGTGGGGGGGGGGGGGGGGGCTGGCTGAGGGACAGATTCTGAAGGTTTACTAAGTAGCATTATTTTAGTCTCTTTTATTTTTTTAGCCCCCCCCCACCTCCATTTCCCACCTTTTCTACTCCTCCTTCCATTTCTCCTCCCGACTCTTGTCACTTCTCTCAGCTGCTTCCTCCATCCCAGGTCCTGTGCAGTTCATTCGTCCTCCAGGGACTCCGTCTTGATGTCGTTGGGGACCCCTCCGGTTCTGGACAGGGCCAGGATGGTGTGGTTGACGGCAGCCATCTCCACAGCGAGAGAGATGGGGTCCTGGTGCTCGTTAACAGCTGCGCTGTCATCCTGACACAGGGAGGAGGGAGGACAGAGGGCAACAGCGCCGGTTCAGAATGAGTCCAGTTCCAGGAAGTAAATAAAACAAATAGGAAGTCTGCCTCCAGTAGATGGGACTTATTTTCCACCTGACTGTTCGTTATCCACTGGACTTGAACTGCTTCAATTTCATTAAAAACTAGAAACAAATAGAGTATTCTAAAAAGCTTTGACTAGTAGTGCATGTAACCATCCAGTCTATATTTAAGACCCTTTTACAGGTT